GTGTATTAGCATCATGCAACCTTTATATGCAGATATTTAAATATTTCTGCTGCAATTTCAACCAGTAACAAGTTCCGTTCCGTTCATTAATTAATTAATTAATTGATTAACTACCAAAACTTGGGAAATAGATAAAAAGCGTTCATTCAAGTTGGTCATAAACATTGGCCGCGGAAGGTGTGGGGACGTTAACGTTGTAGGATAGGGGAGGGACGGGTTTATATAAGATGGGGAGATGATGCGGACATCGAATAACCGTGGGGACATTGTCCCTCTGTCCGCGGCCACTGTTTTTACTCGTAAATAAATACATATATTGAATGGGAGGGTCACACTTAACCAGACCAAACCAAAACCAAACCACAAACAAACGAGTAATTATTGTATTCCATCCATCTAGACAACAAGTAGACTAGAACTGTTTACCTACCTTACCTCTGCCTAAAATCTAATTAACTAAATAACCCCAACTAAACCACCGATTAGCTTTTAAGTGCCTACACCACACACATAATTCTGTACACTATGTACCATAAATACGTGCGTGCCTACCCACCTGCATACATACAGAATAAATAATATACATTAAATTTTTAATCTTGCGTAAAATTATGGCAATTTTTGGTCTAACAAATTCTTAAAAAACGCGATAAACAATGTATAATCTAGTCCACTTTAGTTGAGTTTACGATAGGCACACAAAAATAATGCATATGCATCGTTTTGCCTGCCTTGTGGGGGTGTTAGAGGAAGAAAAAACATAGGTATAATTTTAGCTTACTTACTTATTATGCAATAATCAACGTAAAATCTGCGTAAAAATAGTGGCAAATCTTAAGTGCGAATATTTGTATGCCGTCCATCCATTTACAGATATTTGGCTGGGTGCAAGCAGTGAAGTTGCAGAAAATTCTAAGCATAACCAGGAAGAATTTTTCTATTTTTCTCCTGACAAGAAAAAACCAAATTCATTAAGGTGCGCATACATGTACATACGCAACGTAAATGTACATATGATCACTTTGTCTTTTTGCTGCACTTGTTTAAACGTGTGTGTGCACTGTTGTGTAATAAATGACACGTGATAACAAACACTGCTTAAATATTGTGAATCATCATCATCATCAAACAAGTTAAATATAGTTAAGGTTGAGGTAGTTCTTTCTTTTTCTTGGGGACAATTTATGCAAAGATAACATATCATCATGTATCAATTCTTTGATAAGTTTTAGTATATTTATCTCATTGCCAACTTTTGCACATAAATACAATGGAGAGAGGATTATTAGTTTGCTTCATCATTTCATTTCATGTCGTAAAAAAATATGTGTCCTTTACTTGAAAGAAACAAGCTTAACATATTTCACACTAAAAACTTATTTACTTATCTTAATCTGGATGAAGGTGAGCATTTAGCAATAAAATTGTATTCTTTATTACGTATCTCCTACCACCTACATGTTTTTCTGAAACAATGACAATTCTCCTGAAATGCTGTGATTCTGCATAAAAATGGAAATATTTAAATGGAAAATTTGCAGAAAAAAAATCCTGCAGCAAAAATTTTGCTGCAAAATTGTCCTCACAGAAGAGAACCAACGAGGCAAACAATAACAATAATAAGAAATCAAATCAAATCGAAAGTTTTAGATTACAATCATTTAATTTGAAATCTAATATTATCAAACCATGTTTAGTTAGTTAGTCGGCTAATAAAAGTCGAACTTATAACTACGATTTTTTTCTAAAAGGAAGCTTAACTAACCAACTTTTCTCATGTATCCCAACTAATCATTACACATGCATGCCTACATATTTAGCAGCATAATAAATAATAAATACTTAATAACTAAACGTCTATCAAGCAAAAGTCGTCACCTTTTCTTTGTAAAAAGGATGTGAATGAATGACTCAGCTAAAAAAGTGCAGATTTTCAAACCGACTTAACCAAGTCATAATAATAACAATAATCCCAACAATGGCAACAATATCGTAACAATGGAGTCCAATGAGCGTCATCCAACTACCTACCTCCGTCCGGTCGGTATTATCAATACGTGCATAGAAAGTTGGCAATAAATTGCATGCCTATAATAAATATTTTAATTTTTTGCATGCACCCACGTCATTTAAATATTTCTCGCTAAATACCCCCACTTCTTAATACAGATTTACATATTATGTACACATGTATATTACAATATAAGGTCTTTGATAAGATGACGACACGATAAGGCGGATGGCCGATGACTGACGCCTTGTTTTGAAATCTAACCCCACAATAAAAGATCTGTCCACACAATGAGTCACGTAGCCCAGAAGAAGAAGACGAACTAAAGTTTTGCATGCACTTTTGTATCTGTACTCGAACGGTTCACAATAATTAAACAATTGGGAGAAATTTAGAGCACTTTTGCATACAAGAAAATAAATACTTCTTAGGATTAGACTACGAGAAGATTGCTGCATATGTTGCATTGCATAGCGTGGTCGTGGTCCACCGGCACTTCCGCACTTCCCAGAGATGCGAAATACAATACAATAAAATAAAATAAATCATGAGACTACGTGCAATTTGTACACATCTAATTAAAACAGGGCTCAATTCTGCCTTATGTAAAAAAAAAACTTTGTATGTGCAAAAAGTAATCAAATCTGTCCCCGTTAGGAGAATGATTTGATCGTCAAACTACATACTTTACTTTATTTTACTGTGATTACATATATCACGAAGGATTAAAAAGTGGTTGGCCGATTTTACATGTACTTTTTTCTCCCCTTTCTTGGCTAATTCTTGATGCTATTATGTTGTCTAAATTGATATGTTTGCGTGGTTTGGTTTTAATATTTTTTGAGAGATATGTATAAAACAATTCAGTTATTAATTAATTAATGGCGGATGTTTATATAAATGTCTCTCTTAATTTTGTAGTCGGGCATGAAATCGGATATTATTGTCGCTGAATTGCATGCATATGCACTTATTTTTATGATTATTGCAATAGTGCAGTTAGTCAAATATTGCACGTACCAATTTCTGAGGGAAAAATAAACAAAATAAATTTGACATGAGACACGAAATAGTGCATGCAAATCATTCTTGTCTCGTTATTAAGAGATATTTAATTTTAATTTTCAGACCAAATAGGCACTTGACCAGACCAAACTAAGTTTTATTACATGAGAGAAGTGCACTTACAACTTATCGTTAGATATTTATTAGAGAAATGCATCCCATTAAATTTTCGCGAAAAAGAATGGTGACAAATTTTTTCCCAGAAAAGTACGAAATTATGTATTGTCTTATCACCAACGTCTCAATTTAACCATCATTAAAACTTTTAATTATAATTAACCTTAGTCGTCCTCTCGTTTAAATCTTAACCTACCTACCTACGTGCTTTTTCCTTTATTTCACCTTCATCATCACCCCAATAATAACTTTATGATCAATTAACAGAGTAAACATGGCCTGAAAAAATGATCTTGACTACTGGGCGCGTCTCAACCAACGTACTTGACATTGGTTTTCCGGCGGTGGTCATATCATATTTTTATTAATGACCAACCAACAATTAATCAGCATTCATCAACCAATCAATAAAATCTTATAATAATAAAGATTGATTATTAATATAACACATATCAAATTTTATTAAAAGAATAACTTTTCCTACGTACGTCCAAGTCCAACTGATTGATATGGATTAGGTCAGTCAGAGTCAGATAAGTATTATTGTTGATACCTTTGAAAAAGAAAGAAGGTTGAACCCAACCCCAATGTCAATGAGGGACAATTAGCCACGGACCTACTGAACAGCCTTAATTACAGCTCGCGCAACAATGAAAATTTACAAATCCAATCCATCTACCAAACCACATTTATTATTTCTTGGTCAACTCCATCATCCAATCAAATCACCAACTTGCCAATGACATCAAGATATTCATTCAAAAATTTATTTAGGTAATAATAAAACGAGTCTAGCGAACAGATTATTGCTTAAACTTAACTATATTATAATTGCTCTCTTTTTTACGAAATCTTGAGCAAAACAAATTGTTTAATTGTTGCTTAATTGTTGTCATTACCATACCACGAAAAATTGACTGGAATATAAAATAAGGATCAAGGGAATTCCTTCCTTTTAACGACTCCGTCATAAATTATGGAGTTGTTTTTTTGTCACAAAAATCAAGAACATTGACGAATCGGAAGTTGATTCTTGGCGTGGTTTGAAGAACATGACATGTACACCAGTAAACTCGACACGAGTTTGTCATAAATTCCCATTGTCTCCTTATCCTTGTTGTCCTGTCAAATTTTTTTGTCCACTAATTTACAAATAATAATAGTCGCCTACTTCTTCTCCACTTTACGGAGAATTCCTCAAGGTTCTGGAGGAAACGACAATAAGCGGCCAAGATCAAGGCGATTCGACAACAAGTTCATTGCCTCTGCGTGATTAATGAGGAATTGATCCTCATTAATTATGTAGTCAAAACAGTGGATGGAAATATGAAATATGCAAATGAGATCATGGTTGGTAATATGGCACCCAATATTTTAAGTGGATCTACTCACTTACACGTGGAAACAATGCGCTTTTGTGTATGACTCACTGGATAAAAATAATGACCACGTTTTTTAATTACTTAATTAAATATTTATGAAACGAGGAAAAATCCAATGTCCTTTTATCCAGATCATTAAATTTCTATATCTTCCAATTAAGAAAATAAATGTTGCATGCGCAAATATTTTGCATGCATGTACGAAAAACATGTCGCCTTATATTTTGCAAACAATATTTTGCATGCAAAACGAAACACAATGAAACTGACTGACCGATAAGGAAGGAAAGTGTCAAGAAATTTATGAGACATGTGACGAATACGAATTAAAAATTATCGATGCATTATTGGACATGAAGGGATTGATGTATAATTTACATAATACTAATTTTTGCATGCATGCAAATATTAATTGATGCACTTACTGTTTAAGCGGCCTGTTCTTTTGGAGTTGTTCCTTCTCAATTCTGTTTCCTCGCGCCCGATAAACGCCGACAAGGATGCCCAAGGCGCACAAAAATAGGATAAGAATCCTGAAGATGCGTCCCCCAAAGACGTGCCCCAATTTCCCACTCCAATTCACCAACATGATGATTCTGCAGACTTACACACACACTAAAACACACCTCGAATTAACCCCTCGATTTCAAAGAACGAGATCAATTTACGAGATAAATTTTGTATCTATTTTATTGGGTTTTTAGCTTTAGAATACTCTCGCTTTCAGAGTCATCATGCTTCAAGGGTCGTGTGTAAGTATCATGTGGCGTTAATTTGGCAGACGATTGGAGAAGATTCACTTTCTCAAGTTGGCAGTTTTTTAGGTAGTAGTCTTGGCTTGATAATGGCACTTGTAAATCTTCTTTTTTGCAGACAGAGCGGCGCGCAGCGACGCGGTAAGCAACGCGACAGGTTAATTACGGATTTTAATTGTTATTAGTTAATTGTGTCCGCTACAGTAATTTGATTCTCTTTCTTTTCATTGTATCGTTTGCATGGCTGGTCTGGCGCTACTGACCGCAGGCTGAGCAGCAAGAATGCATGGAGGATACCGTGGAGAAAGTACCCCGAAAGTGGTCACGATCAGGGGTGAAAGTCAGTCTGGAATGGGTAGGAGCCATGGATGGAGGTCTTCTTATTAAGTAAGTAACCGACCTTCCCTGGAAATAATAATTACAATCATTGCAATAAAGGGTCAAAAGATACACGAACGAACTGACCCCGCAAATCAGTCATAAATATGCCATAAAACTAGACCAAAATTGCAATTGCATTATTTTTGCAGGGACAAAAGTGAATGAGTGATATGCATTATTAGTGATATCTGATCAACCCAATAATGACAACAATACGGACAAAACTGACCATCCACTACGACTCCTCAATATAAGTAATTTCATCTGATAAATAAGTAATATTATTACTCCATCAAGAAAAAGGATATGCAATCCAATCCAACTTTTCCACCTCCGCCCTGCACAAAAATAAGTCATCTAGATCTCGCCAGTCCAATCCTGCATAATTGCTGCGCTGCACCCCAGCCAACAACAATGAAGCCAATGACGCCAAACGCTTCAAATATGACATCCAATCCAAAGGGGCATTAATTCGTTCTAATTCTAAATTTGGATCCAAATGCCGAATGGAATTTGATTCGTGTCGAATAATAAAAAGCAGTATGTGCTAGTAAATGAAACGCTACATAAGTTATTCTTAGCCCTCTAGGTATCAGAGCAGATTAGTCACTCAGACACAAGAGAAGTGCAGCTATTACTTATTATTCCTATTGTTGCGATACATGCGATACACATGAGATTAAAATAAAACCGTGCACATTCTCCCAGCCAAGTAAGCAAATACATAACAAACAGTGGCCGCGGACAATGTCCCCACGGTTATTCGATGTCCGCATCATTATATAAACCCTTCCATCCCCTATTTATCCTACAATCTTAACGTCCCCACATGTCCCCACGGCTTCCGCGGTCACTGCTAACAAAATAGATAAGTACTTACTGCCTACTGCCTGCCGTAAATATTCATCACTTGGCTAAATGAATGTTGCATATTTTACACTCATTCCTCCACCTCCCTTCACATTTGCGCATACCTACATAGCAAAATATATGTAACGAAACGAAACGAAACCAACTCTCTGTATGCATGCCATCGATTAAGAAACCTCTTGTTATTATCAGTATGGAAATTGACATGTCACAAGAATCAGAAGGTCTTTGCTAGATAGTTGACGGACAATGCGCGATTTCGATTCCATTTTTAATTTCGATGATAATAGATAAGTGCAGATAAGATATTGACCCGTCCGTCCGTGGCGGCCTTCCCTTGAGGAGCAAGACGCATCTCAAATTTTAATTATAAGCGAGCTACAAAGGAAGAAATGCCACCGTCAACGAGACCAAGTTTGTGTCAGGTAATGGAATTCGACACTTAAAATAATAATAAATATGTGGAAAAGTAAAGGTGTGAATGCGAAAAGGTGCTTAAGAAAACCGGACTCTTGGCATGGACATTTGTGCGACGTGATGGAAACTGGGAGAAGGCGATGCAGAAAGTAACTGTACTTTGCAATCCTGCATATCCAGAAATGCAGCAGAATGCATGCAAGTTTATCCTTCACCTCATTTTTACACCCATTCATTTAAGGAGAAAAAGGGTTAAGTTGAGCTATTAGAGTGGAAATGGGACAATGTTTTCCCACTAAAAGCTTATTTTTGCTGGAATTTAACCAGGCAAAATTTCCAAATTTCTACCGCATTTCTATCGAAATTTCATTAAATCTAGATAAGATGAGACTCCTGAATTAAGTAAGATGAAAAAAAATTGCAAACTTTTTACCTTGAGCAATAGAAGCTTTATTAGTCAACCGCCATGAAAAATGGTACAATTTTGAAAAATTCAACTTCCTTATGTATTTCGTATTTAATTTCTCAATTTTTTAAAAAAATTCACTCCTTTCAAATTCCAATGGTCACTTTATATCTCTACTTTTATTTTTTCAAAATTTTATTTTAATTGTATCACCAATCAATCTGATAGGAAAGTTAGTTACTTTTGCGCGTCTCTGAGACCCAAAGTGTGACTGAGGAGAGAACTTTACCTGTTTTACAACTACTTTACTTTACTACTGCACTTTTAAAGTTTGCATTTGCATTGCATACGGCCAGGCCAGGCCACCAGCTAGCAAAACTACCTGATTTCATCCCACCACGACCACTACCTGCCTGCCTACATAGCTAAATATCTACCTACCTGCTTGATGCACTCACCTGTCTCAATCCCAACGTGGTCCCCATAAGCAATCCCTCAGCAACAATGCAATGCCAAGTCTACTCTACTCTTGAGCAAAATTGAAATGCATTGCAGGACGTGGTTGGCTTTTTCATCTTAATAAAAATAATGGCAATGTTAACCCAGAGGAGTTAAGCAAAGTTAAGGTAAGGTAAGCCTGGGAGAAGGAGGCACTTAAATTAAATACTACGTAAATTAGAGGCTGCACCAGTCGTCAGAATGATAAATCTCTGTGTGTGTGGATAGACAGGCAACAATGAAATGGAATAAAATGAAATGAAATGAACCAGACCACACTAAACTAAACCTAACCACTAACTAACTAACTAAGCATTAGATATGTTCTTATGGCTATTGTTGAAATAAATATTGTCAGTTTTAAGACTTGACTTTCATGTATGTATAACCTGCTCAGTTTTGGCATTGGTTTAGCTTTAATTGTTGTTGGTGGCATTAGCTAATATTTATATTTACAAAGGTAAATATGTAAATTAAGTGAGGTGCATTCTCTGACATTTACTTTTCTTTAATTATACCAGAGCATTTTTGCACTAAATACATACATTTTTGTGATTTCGACATTGTCAAAGTACGTATTTAAATGGACAGGTAATCAATCATTAATTCGACTGGACAAGGGGCAAAGAGGTGTGAACTGTAATGACCACTTTTCAACTTAAACAATGCACATTATGACACGAAGCCAAGTAAACGATGGGATGGATGCGAACCAAACCAGGAACCGTTTTATAGTTGGTTGGTTGAGTTGGTCATGAATCAAGAAACTTGTCCGTCTGCAGAAAATATTCAGGTAGAATATCTCAGTCGTGAATCAGTTAACTCAGTTCTTCTTTTATGGGAGAAGATTACTTACGTGGCAATTAAAAAGTGTAATCTTCTTCTTACATATTCCTGGAATGGATGGATGCGTCATTTTTCACGAGTCAAGTACTCACTCATTGTCAGTGGCCGCGGAAGAGTGGAACAATGTCCCCAGGGTTGTTCGATGTCCACATCATCTGCCCATCTTATATAAACCCCGGCCTCCCCCAACCTACAAAGTTAATGTCCCCACGCTTCCGCGGCCACTGCTCGTTGCAGTAAAGTTTTTAGCCCTTTATAAAAATTGGGGCTGGTGGATTTGGACTTGGATAAAGAGCAAGATTATTATTATTACTATACTTGGTCATGTTTTTATTATTTACATATTTATTCGCCCATGTAACTGGAAATCTTGCACGTAAATGAAATATCAAAAAGTATCAGGAAACCCAAGAAGCGGTGATTAATCTTATCAAAAAGATATGAGGCAAGGTGTATAAATCGATAAATGAATGCATAAAGCATGTATAGAATCACGAGACAACGTGCATAAATCGTAAAATTGCATTCATACATAAATTTGGAATGCTTGCGAATACATCTTGAAACGAATTTTACATATACTCGTTTCGTCAAAAATGTGCTAAATGAGGTAAAAATCTGGCAATTTCGTAGTTATTGGTTTATTTTCTCACTTTTCTCACCAGTACAAAGAATCTCAATCGTTGTCGTCTCACCCAATCTCAATTTTCCCATCCATTAATTATTTCTGACTAAATAACAAGGCTACTAATAACCTCTATTTTTTATTAAAAAATAAACCTCTATTTCATACATAATTCTACTATTTTAATTTACGAGTTACAAAAGTTTCTTAATTTCTGGTATTAGGAAGATTATTAATTAGAATTAATAATAACATCGGTAACTGTAATGATTGATTGTTGATTAGTTGATTGATTGACTGATGATATCATTGGTACACACATTTTTAAATATTTAATGTAGGTATTTATCACATCCAAAATATCTATGCGTATTTACTTAAATGTTCCATTAATTAATTGGAATTTTTAATTATTTATAATGCATATAAAAGTCATCTTACTTAACACTTCTAAACGTATTACGTTCATATTTCACTCGTTACTAACTTGCGCCAAGTCTTATAATAATTTAACTATGGCGCAAGTTACCACCGAGTAAAGTCTAAACACAACCCAACAAATAGATAATAACAAACAGCGCTTAACAAATATTTAGTATAATTGAAAAATTAATTAGTTAATTTCTCTTTAATTAAGCATACATGCGATTAATATCTGATTGATAATGGTCCTGAATATTTTTCCTTTTTAATTTAAAAGCTGCCGTTACCAGCCCACTGTCCGGCTGCCACGTGTCACTGCATAACGTGACAGCACCGGGAATTTCAAATTTGGCTAGTTTCGAATTCGTCCCATGTATCTGGATCTCTTTTAAGACGGCGTTCGCCAACCCGGCGTCCGCGCACATCTCTTCCAACGTCATGTCCCCACTTTTACCCAATTTTGTGGCAAGAATGGTTAACTAAAAGTGAAAAAATGATTGTCAAAAAATCAAATTTCCCAAAATTTTTTGTGGTTTAGTAAACTTACATGCTTAACCGCAGGAACTATTAACGCGACACAAAACTGTTTCGAGGCGTCGCCATAAATGCAAATGTTGTCGACCAAAGGGCAAGTTTTAAGTTCGGATTCGACCTTTCCTAACGACACGTACTCTCCAACCTGCAACTTTACGAGATCCTTCTTCCTGTCAATAATTTTGAAGCAGCCGTCCTCCTGAACTTCGGCAATGTCGCCGGAACGGAACCATCGGCGGCCATCTTCTTCGAAAAAGTCCTTTTCCGTAGCTTCGGGAAGTTTGTAGTAGCCGAGGGCCACGTTGTCGCCACCGATTAAAATTTCTCCTCGGGGGAAGGGGCGATCTTTTATGGTGTAGTTGCCCTCGTCCCAGTTGACTAGGCGGATGTCACAACAGCCTAATGGCGCCCCGACGCGGCCTAATTAAAAAATAATGAAGTTTTTAAGGATGAGAAATTTCCGAAGAATATTTTCTGAAAATATTGTAATTTTTTACCTGTCGACATGTCCGATCCGAGCGAAATTGTGGCGCAAGCCGCTGTCTCGGTAAGTCCGTAGCCCTGGAGGAGAGGGACGCAGAGGGAGTTGCGGATAAATTCGTGCGTATCGGGGGCAAGTGGTGCTCCTAAAGGTAATAAAAAATCACAATTTTGCACACTTTTGCACAAAATTTTGCACAAATAATTTATTCTACGTACCTCCCGATGCCAAAATTCTGACCCGACCTCCGATCAATTGTCGCAATTTCTTAAATATGAGTCGATTCACGAGTGGTGTGTTAAATCCGCGGTAGTACCACTATTAATTTAATTATAATTAAATGTTAATTGTGCAAAGAGATTTTACATTTTTTGAAGATATGAATGAACATACTTTGAGTTTGTAGTCGTAAAAGAACTTGAAAAGTGCTTGTCCAATTTTTCCAGACTCGCCGACCTTTTCTTGAATCCCTTTGTAAATTCGGTCCAGGATGAGCGGTACAGACGCCATTATGGTCGGACTGGAAATACACAAAAGTACATAAATATAGTATAAATTAAGTAGTAAATGGATAATTAATTAAATTATTTTCTTACCGGAGAACAGAAGTGTCTCCTTTACAGCCGCGTTTAATTTTGGAAGATTGGTCCGTCATGGTCTGCAAAAAACAAATCCAAAATTGCAATGAATTTGCAAACTTACATAAATTTTAAAAATTAAAATTACCAGTGGCGTCGAGTATCCGATAGGAATGCCAGATAAGAAGGATATCGACTCGCACATCAATTCCAAGACGTGTGCAAGTGGTAAGTATCCCAAATAGATGTCTGTGTATTAATTAATTAGTACTAATTATTGCTAACTATTAAATATTGCTGGTAGTTAAATTAAATTACTTACCATCGGGATATACGGGTCCCAACGCGTCAGAGAACGCCATCATGGCGATGGACACGTTCCTCTGCGATAACAAAACCCCCTTCGGGGCCCCTGTACTTCCACTCGTGTACATGATAATGGCAACATCCTCCGGGGACGGGGGGCTCCCACCTGATTAATCAATAATAATTACTTAATCTGCATAACTAGTTTCATACTTAATCCTACTAAATTCTCACCAATCGAAGACTTCGTCCCTGCCGCGATGACATCGCAAAACCCGTGAATCTTCACATTTTCCGGAAACTTTGAAACATCCGTTTTTCTCAGAGGATCCTCCATATAAATCAGGTGCTTCACAGACTTCGAATTTTCCAAAATCACTCTAAATTTCGGCATCAAGTCGTGCGACGTGAGAACAAATTCGCACTCGGTTTCGTTCAGCCCGTGAATTACGGCGTCCTCTCCGAGCGTCGCGTACAGAGTGACCACTAAATTAATTAAAGCACCATAATTAATTAATTATCTTATCATCATCACCGCCATAATCTAAATAATAATAAATTCCTACAAGTAATATTCTGTTTGAAACATCCAATCGCCGCGATCAACCATTCCGCCCTTGTTTCCGCAAAGATGCAAATTTTCCCCTTGGGCTCCAACCCCATTTGGCGGAGGCCTTTACTAAATCCGGAAGCAAGTCGGTCCACCTCGTTATAAGTTTTCCAGAGGTATTCACCCAGAACGTATTTTTTGAAAACTTTTCCATTCTTTTGAACCTCGTCTTCTTCGTCGATCAGTTCTCTCGAGCCTAAGCAACGCTTCGACCCATTTCTGCGTACGGCGTAATTGAACACTTTCTCCATCGTGTCGATCCCTTGCTTTTCGAGTTCCACGTGCATCTTGGAAATGGGGGTCGTGCTGCGGAATGTGATGCCACCCTCGTGGCTGATGGCCTGGGCCTATAAATAAGCAAATAAATTATTTGACCACATGACGCTACGACACGAATTCATTCGTTTAAATCAGAGTTTCTTTGCGTCTCCCAACCGTCTAAGCTTCGAAATACATGCTAAAGCCATTTCTGAAATTAGCCTGCTGGTGATTTTTTTCTTATAGAAAATTTAAAAATAAGACGTTTTTGTTCTTTATTATTTTTCGAAAAGAGTGACCTTGTCGCCCGCTACGTCGAATTATGACAAAATTTCGCTGTAATTAACTCGTTAAACACTAAAGTTAATATTTAAATTTTAAATATTAACAAGTTTAGTGGGACAAGATTCAAGTGTCACCAAATAAAATAAACAATGTCAAAACAAGCGATTATCAAGGTCGAGTAAGCAGGATATACATATTATTATTATGCAATTATTATTGTGCTGGCTGCGTTTTTGCAATCAGCATCAACAAGATTACATATTTAATTGATCAGTCAGGCTGATAGTTAAGTATTAATTGAGGAGCTGCTGCGTGATGGACAGATTGATGATTATTGACCATGGACTTTTGTCCCAAATGGACTGAACTATATTGGACATTGAATCTTGTACATTTGTCATAAAATTAAGTTACCTTTGACTCCTTGCACTCTCTCACTTTTCGCCACGGGTACTGCACAATGGTGTAGATGGGAAGGGTCAAAACGTCGTAAATGAAGGTAATCGCCCGCAGTAAGACGACCACCAAAGTGTCCGAAAAACCCATCGTGTCACTTTCTTCAGGGAGGAGAAATCGTAACGGGGGACGATCTGTAATTAATTAATATTTAATTTAATTAAGTAAATAATTAATTAATTAAAGTATAATAATTACTTAATTAATTAAAATTCAACGCACGGAAAAATTGAGATGATTTTCGTAATCGTACAGACGAATTTCTCACTGCGACCGACACCACCGGTCAGAAAATGACTGACATTAAAGTTAACTGATTTGTGGTTTAGTTTTCCATGCCATTTTAATAATTATCATTCATTTTACATATGCATACAACGTGGCAACGTATTTATAACATGGTTAGGTATGCTTATCTTAACTTGACTTATCATGGTTTTAGTATATTATTACGTGACGATAGCACAGACAAGAGAGGGGAAGAATATGTAAGGGGTTATCTTGTCTGCTTGGTGAGGTTATCGGCAAATTTATTCACCCCGATTCCTCCGGTGCCTTCCCACACCCACCTACACGTCTAAATACTAGTCAACCTTTAAACCTGGACAGATAATTGTTATTTATTGACAATTGTGTAGATTAATTGCGGTATTTTTATAACACTTTCGCATTTAAAACACTTAAATATTGCAGTATCCGTCATAAAAAGATTGGATTATGAAAAGGTATTATTTATTATTAACATAAACATTGATAAACTATGATATACACTTAGTTGGATTATGAAACAATTTCAAATTCAAGGTAAACTTGCACAATACTTATCAAGTAGTTTTTTTTAGTCCGTACTCGACCCGACCCCAACGACGTGGTCAAGAATTTATGATGCATTGTGGGAATTTATGGATTAATTGTGAAATTATGTTTAATTGCATCAATAATTGCAACCAATTTAGATATTTGACCACACAAAACTACTTGGTTCGTGTCCAGCCACATGCAAAATTAGGACAGAAATCACAACAAATTGAAGGGAATTACTAATCTCGAAAGCGTGTCCAGTCCAGATTCTAAAGGTTAACATGAGCTGAGCTTAATTGACATGCCATTAATTAAGGAAGATTACAAGAAGAATTTCCATATTTGTCTTCTTTCAAACCACGTGTCGCCGGATGGACGAAAACGTGTCAAAATTTATCCAAGCTTAAACTAAACTAAACCTCGTCATCCGGTTGAAGGCCAAATTATTATTATTAATTTAAATGAATGGTCACAAATAATGACGTGGCTTTGGTTTATATAAATCATGCATAAACTGTTTATAATCGCATCGTACGATCATCATCATCTTCACCCAGGTCAGAAAAGAGTTGATGATTACGATTTATTTAGGCCGATTTGAGACGGCACAAATCTGAGTCAAACGGAATACATTGAAAATTATGCCATTCATGACATGTCACGTTATTCAAGAGAAGAGAGGTTTGGTTTTTGATTCGTATTGGGATTGGATTTCGTCGATGAGAGATCAAAGTACGAATAAATCATCGTCATCTTATTTATCGCTTTTGAGTGATAAGTAAGTAAAAGTGGTCGTGGTCCAGATAATAAAGAAGGATTGGAAAAGAGATTACGTGGATGGATAAGTTGAGACAAGATCAATTGCACGTAGATGAGATCATGATGACGAGATTATTGCAAAATATTTGCAGCAATTAATCCATGAAGAATCCGTGAAGAAGAAACTTCCAAAAACTTCCCAAAACAAAATTCAAAAATCCTGATAATTGCTTTCAAAAATTTCCTAACCCTAACCTATTGTAATTCAGTACAGTCAATCGGTGTTCCTTCCAATTATATAAATTATCCTCCAAAAATGCTTACCGGCGTTTCCAGAAATCAATAATCAGTATGGAGATTATCACTTAATTTTCACCAGGGATTTTATTATCACAATTATTTTACCCTCAATATTTTCCCAAATTTCAATATTTTCACACGTTTGAACAATATCTTGATATATTTTCAACTTGGTAAATTTACCAAAGTAAGTCCATGGATTGGATTGGATTGGATTAATTGACAGAGTGAGACTTTTCAGCTAAATGTTCATGAATTTATAAGTAATTCACCACTAACCATCATCACCACCACCACGACAACTGATTATCTAACTGACCGACTACTGACTTACTCGCGAGGACGAATATACACATCAATATTGGATGTGAAGAAGCTTCGTTTAAAGAGTAAAATGAAATAAATAAAGGGTGCACTCGACTTGATGTACTCCCACAATTTCCAGACTGGATTAGAAGAACCAAATGAGAGGACAAGTCCAAGTCCAGTCCAGTCCAGTGACCGGCAGATCAAGAACGAGAGGACAGAGATCAATCGGTAAACTTAATGAGTGCACCCTGCGTGCATATTGCATGATAAAGTGGTAGAGATCATCATCTCCTCGCTTATCTTAATCCTCTATAAACTGACTTGTTTCCCCTCTTACCACTACTTTCGAGCTGGCAAGGTCTGTAATTAGCCTGATAATGAAGACGAGTCGAAATTGATAAAGTTTTCTCGTGTTCTTTTAATAAAACCAGGATCGTCAACAATCATTATCTAAAAATATTTTAATCAAAATTTCATATAATTTTGAAATTTCATAAACGGCGTCTCAACTTTTCAAAAAATCATAAATTTCTCAACTTTCCCTTCAAATTTGTTGACATCTTTTAACCTTCTGATCTGTTCTTGTAATGAAACCTGGATTATCGACAAACATTATCTAAATATTTTAATCAAAATGACATATCATAATTTTGCCATTGCATAAACGGCGTCTCAACTTTACAATTATACAAAAATCAGAAATTTCTCAACTTTCCCTTCAAAATTGTAGACATCTTTTAACCTTGTGATCCCGATAACGCAACAGCTTCTTATCATAGTTTCCCACTCTTTTACACTACACATACAATGTCTGGATGTCTGGAACCGTTACAAAAATTCTAATCTCGTCTTGACCATACATTTAAAAAACTATTTCTTTTACGACTTTATGATTTTACTCTTTGGTTTCATTTTCATTTTCAGTTCATCCATATGAAATATTATTCCGACCCGACCTCGACCTCGACTTCGTACTCTTTATAGTATATGAAATATCATGAAGTGGACCATGAACCCCACAAACGCTAATCAGTGTTGCATGTTTTCTGATTAAGTGGTTGGTTTGGTGTTATGTTACAGAATTTAGTCACCACGCTCTCAGCGAATGTTTCTTCCTTCCGGTTGAAAGGAAAATAATGTAATGAATGATGGAAATAAACCAAAGCTTGTTAAACTTTAAGGGACTTTGGATCCATGAGAAGCCAAAAAGCCACGCTGCATGGCATGCATCCCAAACAGAAAGAAAGGTGCGGTAGTGTCCCTAAAAGCAGTGGCCGCGGAAGCTGTGGGGACATCTGGGGACATTGACGATGTAGGATGGGGGAGGGAGGGGTTTGTATAAGATGGGCAGATGATGGGGACATCGAATAACCGTGGGGACATTGTCCCTATGCTTCCGCGGCCACTGCTTAAAAGTGTGACCACGTGTATCCCCAATGACTCTGTTGTCACCGTGTCAAACTTTATTTGATGCACTTTGATCCTATTACTTAAATACGGGGCAAACGAGATATGTGTAAACGAGTAGAAGGAAGAAAAGGAAGAAGTCTAGTTTTGTGGAAAAGTGAGACAAAGACGGACAGACGCCCGAATGGAATACAGTTCAATAGTCCAATAATCCCAATCAGACGTGACGTACGTGTAGTATTGATTTGTAACCAAAAATAAAAATCCCAACCAACACATTGCACATCACTCGTGTTTAGATGACACGATTAAGAACTTTTGGTTTTATTAGTCGACTACTTTCTGTGTATGTAAATATGCAATACAAGTCTGAGTTTTTAGTGCAGTTTGTCCTGTCCTCCACCACTACCACCTTGGACAATGTTTGCATAGATAAAACGTATGAAAAGCTGCGCCTTGGCTAATATTGGGTTTAGCTGGTAATTGGTTAATTGGTAAAGATAGCACTAACTTACCAGTCATTCTGAAGAAGAAACTTTGAAGAAAATGCAACAAATTTTTGTAACCGCACTAACGCCACAAAGAAATATTATTATTTTGCAAATTGAGTTATTAGCACAAACACTTTTCTCCAAGTCTAAGAATTTTGTTCCTTTATTGTTTACACCAAATAACAAAAATTACATCGATTTTTCTACAAAATCACTTTATCTGTCTCAAACCGTGTCCAGTTGAAAATTTGAGTCATCCAAAACTACGGAGGGTTGTAAATCACACTAAATAACTTTAAATATGCATCACCAACAGATGAGATGACGCTTATATTATGAATTAAATTGCCTGCACACTGTATAACACAACAACATAGCAATTTTCCGCCTCTAATAATCCAGTATTATTACGTAAAATATGATTCACTAGCAACAAACGACCCCCAACTCCAAGCTATTTTCCAACTCTAACCATAAACTTTAACTCTATTAGAGATTGGTATGCATGCATCTAAAAAGCTATGCATCTATCAATCCATCCAATCCACGTCGTATTACATTCTGACTCCTAAAGCAGATTATATATTATTGTACACGTACATATGTGGACCAAAAAGTAATAAGTTTGGCGATTCCATACACCCCACCACAACACATGTACCACTAGCAGAAATAGGAAAAAAACATAACATACCGACAAAAAATGCGCTGTATAATAAGTCTGCAGATGCCGTCACTCATTGATATATTGGCAACGATGTACATATGTACATAATACATAAAAGTCATATGCATACGAATACCAGCGTCGAAATACTGCTGGCGTGTTGTCTTGTTGTTGTCTTTTCTAGTGAAAATTACGTAATTGGAAGTATGTACAAAAACTTTATACACGATGATGCATGGCATGCGAGTGAGTGAGTCAAAAAGCGTAATATTAAATCGTGACATATTTATACAACGTGGGAGGAGGAACAAAGGACGCGTGTTTACATTTGTCCATGAAAATGAATGGTGGTTGGATATAGAACAGCAAAGTTAGATAAATAACAGGACAGGACGGAACGCAGGCAGACTATGTATTTTTTATTTACATGTGTAAATAAGTCGTAGTTTTGAGGGTGGCGTGATTTATATGGACAAAGACACGTAAGTAAAGCGACCAAACATTTTTGTAACGGACAGGATGAGGAATGATTGACATTTGTGCTATCTATTTCGTTTCCATTCGGCAAGCAGGATATGCTTTTGCACTAATTGTTCTTCTTAGTCGAAATGGTGTTGCAAATTCGTTGGATAAATGAGATATTTTGAGTTGGGAGACACGCAAAAATAGAGGACAATTGAGACAAAGAGGGAGAAAAGAAAGGCTATAATATTTTATTTGCATGCGACTTAATTAAGAATATATTGGCTATTGCAGACTCATCTATACATAGTCAGACTGGACAAATTGCATAATAAAGGATGATTGGATATAGTTTTTTGTCTCCGGAGAGAGTTTCATTTTTATAAAATTAGTCCTGCTGAATTTTTTCTGTGCGAATCTAGTCTGTACCAAAATGAGACACGTATATTTAGCTCATTTGTTGTCTCAAAGTGTCATATTTTGCACGATATGAGATATGATAAATGCATAAGTAAATAGATAATATGTAATTATTAAGAAAGTAGTTGAGATTTTCTTACCTCCACCGCCGTGCATATTTTGTTAGAGTGTAATTTGAGGTAATTTTATTAATTCTTTAGATTATTAATTGATTTTTATTGAACTGTAGAAAAAGCATGTGATCAATTTGAGGTCTAACGCTTTTATTCCTCACGTGTCAAAATGATAATATAGGTCACGCCAGGGAGGTAATGGGTCAAAATTTCCCGAAAATCGATCATATGCTTTACGTAACGGTAACAGATGCACTTTTTCTTTCAAAAAAGTTTAACAAATTAGACAACTTTCTCCTTCTGACTTTCTCTTCCGTTTCTGCGTCATGAACGAATGAATGACTGACCGACTGACTGAAACCACGTACTCGTCTACTTCGTAGTGCACCTGCCTGCTGAATCTGTTCACAAACAGATTCAGCTGCGAAGTAAGTAATAAAACGACTTCAACTTTCTCCCGGGTATCCGACCACGACTTACTTTCACCCAAAGGAGGAAACCAATATCCCACACCAAACCAACCACTTACGTATTTACTTACTTGATCCCCACTTTCTCCACCTCCACCTCCGCAATCTCAAACTCCACAGTCACTTTGACAGATTTCACAATGCACCGACACGACTCAAAGATGAGATGGGATTGATTCAATTACTTTCGTCCCACGCAGTTTTTCCGGATACACAAGAAAAGCAGGCTTGACTACTAATTTGGGACAGAGACGAAATTGGGCTCTCTTACTTAAATTTCACATACAAGTAGCTCGTTGATTGGCAAAAGGTGAACAAACGGCTCTAATTTTTATTGCGACTGTTCTTCTCTTTCATGATAATACATGTAATAATGTAAAGCATATCTTGACAAGTTTCTTTCTACCATGAAAATTTAAATTAGTCAAATTATAATGTACTTTTAGCCGGATAATTTAGATATCGTTGAGTTCGATTCGATTATGATCATTTCATATTTGTTAAGTATTTTTAGATCCTATGTATGTATATTGCTCTTTCTTTCATAATATAACAACTTTTTGCCGTTCTACAGCAAAGCAGAGAAGCATGATATTCATATATTTAGAAACTTTTTACCTACTAATCTAACAATACTTTTATCCTGTCGTGATATTAAAGCTAATACGTAAACGTTAACCATATGGTAAAGCTATCGGGATTATCGTAGTAATCAAGTTTGAATGTGAAATAGTCATAATAAAGTAAATCAATAAAATCAAATTAATATAAAGGGTAAGTAGGAACGTACATAATTTGATAGTTAAGGTTATTGAACACTATGCAGCACTGGTAGATTTTATCCTAAATTAAAACACATCCAAGAAAATAAAGTTGCTAAGAACTTAGTCAGTTTAAAATTAAAACGAAGGCCGACTCTAAATGTCATTCAAAATTCGTCGAAATTCATCCACTTGTACTTTTTTTGCTATACTTTCTCCAACCCCTCGTCTCAAACGGCGTATCAATTTTCTTCATTCGAAAACTCGGACCAGAACAAGATAAGTTTCTTCGTGTCCAATGACTGTAGCTCGATTCGGTAGCTGGGATGAACAGAAACATCTCCGAGTTGCCACCACCATTCGGTGAGAACTTGCGGTTTTAGGAGGGTTCGGGCATTACCATTGAATGCCAGCTCGTACGGCATTTTTCCTTGATGGTTTAACACCTTTAGCGCTTCCTCTTTTACCTGCACATTTAAATTGTAGCTTGTAACTTTTTATTTAGCAGGACAATTTTGGCGATTATGCAATTGTACAATTGTCGAAATCCATACTAACCTGCAGATTATCAGCCATGTAGCACAGTAATTTAGACATTTGCTCACTTTGGTCATGTGAGACTGCAGCTAAATGAAATGGAGTGTCCCCAACTTCATTCTGAGCCAGTAAATTTACTCGCAGCTCTTCAGGAAGATTTACTATATACCACATAATTTTAAAATGTATATCCCATCCTCAAATTTCAGTAAAACTCCACAAAATTTCACTACTCACCATGCGTACAAAACTCATAAAATTTTGTCACAGCATCAAACCTCCCATGAGCGATGGCATCGTGTAGCGGCTGAAACAAATGCATTGTATTGAATTTTTGTTTAGCTCATGCGTGATTTGATTGATCATATAATCCTTACAGTATTGCCAAAATTATCGGTGGGGTTGACCGTTGAGAATCTTTGCTGCTTGAGTTGTTGAGCTAACGTGAGGCTCGAGCTGTCCTTGGAGTCATGACTCACTTTCTTGCACAGTTTGTGCAGATAAGATTCTCCCTTCAAGTTAACAGCAACAGTTTCAGATTTCCTGCCGTTCACATTGACAAGGGAGGAAATTGGTATGGTGGGGTATTCGTTGGAATGCCTCCTTTCCTTCAGGTTCAGACCGGTTATCAGATCAGATTTAGAAAGAGATCGCTACAAATAGAGATAAGTTGTTAAAAGTTATTTTTAAATAACTTTGAAAAATGATTAAAATCATTTTTCAGGATAATCGGTACAATTAGTAACTCACCAAGTACATGGCAATATCATCATCAAAAGGCCTCATCGAGTTGTCCTTAACAGACTCGAATTTTATCCGATTCGTTAATATTTTGAAGCTGACTGCAGCTCCGAGTGTATAATCGCAAACGGCTTGCACAATTTGGCTCGTGCTAGAGGAATGTTCTGGCCCTAGCGAATAAAAAAACATTGAAAATTGCACAAAACTCAACACTTAATGCTTTAAAATCCTTACGCGATAATGTGTCTGCAAAATCATTGACAAGAGCTCTGAATTCGTCATCTAGTGGTCCATGTTTCTTTAAGTGGTACGCGAGCAGGCCAACCCACCGCTGCAAGAAATAAATTATCCGAGTTGTCAATTATTATTATTTTATGTCAAAATCGAATCAAAAAAACTTACCATGACGGTTTTAAACTCTTCAGGATAATCTTTCAATAGGAAGGTGAAGTGTACTAATTTCTTGCAGTACAAATTATACGAGAGGATTCGATCTTGCTCCTGTACACCATTATCCAACTAATTAACATTATATTACAAATTTCAACAGCAGATACAGACTGCATCATGATTAACTGGGTGGATACAAACCTCTAAGAATTGGACGAAAAATGGTCTTCTTAACTTCACTTGAGAAGCTCCATAATCCTTATACTGCTGAACCACCATTTTCGTTAATACTTTGAAAAAAGGGAATGGTTTGGATTGCACGCGAGCTTGAGCATCTGCTTGTACACGATTTAACACGTCAAACAGAAATTCTGACATTGAGCACATATCGGAAGATGTCTAGAAGGAAGAGAATAATAATTAGAAAAAAATATTCCATATTTTAATTAATACCATAAAATGAGTACCTGTGTGAATGTGCAAGAATAGTACTGTGTAGTTTCGTCCCCACCACTAACGGGGTATTTTTGAACAAGAGTTTGAAAAAAATCCATAGCCAAGGTAGGGATATCTTTTGCAACTCGAGTTCCAAGACCCAGAATAGCTTTTTTAATCAGGTCGCCAACATGTTGGGGTTGAGGAACTAGTTTGTTATTCAAATTTATCTCAAATTTAGTGATAATATCTTTCCAGGCATTTTTCCGGACTTTCTTTTCCAAGTCGGGATCCAAAGGTGCCTATAATAAAATATACATCAAATTGGTTAAACGAGATATCATTAATTAGCAGATATTTACATAAATAATTGTATTACCTGCTTAAATATAACAACAGGTGGATCTTGTAGAACTTGTCGACAAAACGGTTGTTTAGGTCCCTTTCCTTCAACATCGCTCGAAGCGGCTGACGCCGATTTGCGTCCAACTCCACCTCCATGTCCGGAACTGCTGTCACTCGTACATCCTCCTCCTTTTCTTGGCGTCCTCTCCAGTCTCATCCGTTTCTCGGCGGGGCTCTGCTCCACCTCGATAATGACAGGAGAAGAATGGATTTCTAAATGGGGAGACATTCTCACAATCGAACTGGTCGAGGCAATGTTCACTTCTGGCGTCGTAGTGTCGGGACTAAGACCAAATGAAGAAGAGTAGGTTCGCTTATTCTTATTGTTATTGTCTTCTTGGTCGCTACTCCCGGATTCGTAATCTTGTGGAAATCCGTTTGCTTGCAGAACTGAAATTAAATTAAATTAAATTAATGCTATCAATAAATTGAATATTGGTGATTTCATTTAACTCGACCCGAAATTAAAATCAGTACCATGCCCACCACCACCATTGACCTCCCCGAGCACGTTATTATAATGGTGATGATGGTTATTAAAGACTCCAACAACTTGAATTCCATCATCATCTTCGTCTTCGTTGCCGTTACCATCTTCTTCATCATTATCGTCATCATCACTGTACCGTCGGACGATCTGCTCTTCCCCGAGGACAACTTGTTGACCATTGTTCCCCTCATCGGCATCATCGTCTCCGTCTATGTCGGAAGTTGTGGGGTCGTCATCTTCTTCCTCTTCCTCTTCATGCTTCTTCTTCTGTAGTAAATATTTTCGAATCGCACCAGGCACCATTCCTGCATATTAATTAACAGATATAAAAAACCTGATATAAAAGACATATTAAACATCATATTAAAGACCTGATTTGCGACACCGCGCGGCCTGACGATCTTCACGCCTCGACGGTGGTGGGATTGGTTTCGGTGCAAGAATTATTGAATAATCAGACAATCGTCTCGTCTGTATTTTAGGATTTCGATTCTCGTTATTGATTGCGGTGGTGAAATTGGTGTCGTCCCGTTCAAAAAAGTACGCAGGGTCCAATTCCATCATTACACAGGGTAACAGGGGTGCTGCAGACATATTAAAGACATTAAAAACGATCCTTTCATCGTCTAGATTCTTCTAGACTAAATATTTAGGTTAATTACCGGAGCAAATTCGCCGCAAAAGTGACGCTGCTGCTAAAATAGGAGGAACAAACGTAGCAGGAACATTGATGGTGGTTAATTACTACTTCTTCCACGTTAATCACAAACATTAAAATAAAAATAGCAGCGGGTTATCAGGAAGTATAAAATGTTCGACAATTTTCCCAATAAAATTTACACGACTGTCCTTTAAAACAATGTCACAAACACAATTACTACAACGTCACCTAATTTCTACCTGTTACACACACACATTTAAATGTCTATTAAATAATAACACCATTAATCGTTAACCGTTAAATAATAATTATTTATTTATTTATTTTACTACTACTCGAGTTCTTTTGTGTTGCTGTTTTTGAGTGGCCCACTCCACCACCTAATCTCTGGCGGAATATGCTCACTCGGGGCGTGCGAAGTCATCATCTGTGTTTAGTTGGCAAATTATTATATCAACAATAAATACGATTGTATTTCAAGGATGTATTTCTGTCTACTGCGTGCACCACAGTTAGTTAGTTAAGTTAAGTTAATTAGGCAATTTGTTAATTAAGTGGGTTACCAGGATTTGGGTGCGTCGTCGTGATCTGATTGAGGGGGATTTTTTTTGTGGCAAAAATTGGAAACCAAATTTCGTCAAATTTCTTCGTCGTGGAGGACGAAACAATTCACGCCCTTGTTCTCCCAGCGCTTTTTATTGGATGCTCTATTGTTCTTGGAGTTGTTCTTTACGGAGTTTTCTACGGGCGAGGAGGGGGAGGGGACAGGAAGAAGGATAAGAAACAAAGAAGACGACGAGAACGTGAAGGAAGATTATCCCCTTTTTCTTGGTGGCGACGAATGAGTGATTGGGGGGTGGATCGAGGTGTCCGTGTTTTGAAAGGGGTACGACACTTTCGTCATAGAATTCGTCGCAAGATGGATATCATGTTTGACGCTTATCTCAACTCGGAGGGAGATTTTCCAATGTGTGACTCACCCGTTTGGATATTTGGGAGGTCTTATTCCGTTAATTATGGTGAGAGTTAAACAGCCAAATACGTATTAAAAGGTTCCTTCGTTAATGTTGTTTAATTTTGCAGATTTAGATGAGCTGCGCCGCAGTGTGGCGAGCTGTATGTGGGTGACGTATCGCAAAAATTTTGGCAGTGTGGGGGAAACGTCGCTGACATCGGACAAAGGATGGGGATGTATGATCCGAACGGGGCAAATGTTTATGGCAAAGGCGCTTATACTTAGACATTTGGGTAGATAATTAACTATTTGATTTGATAAATGCGCTTTGAAGTTCATAAGTATTATATACCGTCTATTTTAGGTATTGATTGGCATTGGGAACCAGATTCCAGAGATCCTTCCTACTTAAAAATCGTCTCTCTGTTTGCCGACCTTAATTCTGCTCCGTTCTCTCTCCACCAAATTGCTCAGACAGGGTCGACCTTGGGTAAACCTGTAGGTACGTGGCTCGGACCCAACACGGTATGTCAAGCGTTCAAAAAGCTGCTTTCCTCTGGGGCGACTGGGCTTGATTTGACAATGCACATCGCCATGGACTCTACCCTCGTTCAGTCAGAGGTGAAACGACTCTGCTTATCGCATCCTTCCATTAACCCCTTCGCATCGGCAACCATTCCATCTTCCTCTATTATTAATACGCCCAGGTAATTTTAATTGCATAATTGTGGTATTTTGGGTGGAAAAGTTTGTTTAATCTCTAGTTAAATCTACGTAGGATCGACCCCAAGTGGAGACCATTGTTATTAATTGTTCCGCTACGTCTCGGCCTCTCAGATTTAAATGAGGCGTATGTTCCTGGGATCAAAGCAGTCTTTGAGATACCACAGAGCATCGGAATAATCGGTGGAAGGTAAATTATATTACTCACTACATTTGAATTAATTGTGCTTTAATTAAAAAATCTAATTAATAGGCCTAATCATGCTCTTTATTTCATTGGTTATGCTGGTAAGATAAGATGTTAATAAGAAAATTGCTAAAGCTTTAGATTGAGCATGAAAAGTGAGTAATGATGGGTTGATTTTTTGTTTTCTTAGAAAACGAGGTGCTCTATCTCGACCCACACACCGTACAACCCACAGTTCACGTCGGCTCAAAGTTGGATGAATCTGAAAAAGCGGCCGACGAAACGTACCACTCTCAGAAGCCGGGGAGAATGTCCTTCCTTGCGGTATAATTTTTTAAGGAGAAAGCCAAAATTTTAAAGCCCCAACGTAATACTAATCCAGTTCCCACATTTACAGATGGACCCGTCAATCGCGCTCTGCTTTTACTGCAAATCTGAAGCAGACTTTGACAGCTTGTGTCGAAAGCTCACGGATCGCTTTTCCGTGATTCCATTGCCTTTATTCGAAATCTGTGAAAGACGTCCGCAGGACTGGACAACGTCAGACCCGATATTCATGTCTTCCCCTCGGTCAAATTCGTCTGGAGGAAGGAATTCACCTGGAGGATTCACAAGTATTGGTCTCCCTGGGAGCAGTAGTAGTAATAGTAAAACACGGATGGGAAGTAGCTCATCTTCCACATTTTCAGGTGATGTAGACGATGAAGAATTTGAAATTTTAGGATAGCTGAAATTATAATATGATAATTAATAATTTAATAATCCGGATCCATGTCTCTTGCATTTTACTTAACCAACCGTAATCATACACAATTTAAACTATTAGTCGTACGGACGGAAAAATATTTTATAATTGTTAATCTACGGCCGGATACAAATGTGTGCTAATTTAATTTATACCACATCTACTATATAATTGTACATATATTTAATCTTATTGTGAGTTTAATTGCACCTTCTTTTATTACGTAAATAATATATACCTTTAATATTTAAAATTATGTTAGATTTTTAGGATGAATAATCAATAAAGAATATGTGCTACACACAATGAGCAGTTTGTTTTTAACAAGTCGTCATATTTATTTCGAAAATTTCAAATCAAGGGCAGTAGTATAGTCCAATCAACGAATTAATGTCAAATTACAATTTTTTCTAAATCGCATTACATGCAAATTTCTACAGCTTGTGAGAAATTAAAATTAGAAATATATAGTGTTGAATTTTAACAATTCATAAAAGTTTCTGTTTTCTTAGTTGCTTTTAATTATTATTGTTGGAATGATCCATATTTAAGTTTCATTTATTGTAATGTAATACATGTGAAAACAAAGGATGACTATGTATCAAATCAAATCGTTCTTGTCTTGGTCGTTTTAAAAGAAATTGAGTAAAACATTGAGATGTTGTGATTAAAATGGGATATGATAACATAAAATTCGACTGCTTACTATTTTAAAATGAGTAATAACAAAATTTAGGTCCTGATTGAAGAGACTTATCAGATCGTTAATGACATTAAATTATATAGTGTAGTAGTGGTTTTTTGAAACCGAGTGTGAGGAGCGTGTTTACTTGTTTGTACCTATTAATTCCTTGATTTTGTCGGCGTTTGCTCCTACGAATAAAAGAATTGAAACGATATAATATTTTCCAGGCCCCTACAAATATAGTTAGTTAAGTAGATTATTTTACTTACCAGAGAACTCGGAAACCTAATTTTTAAATAAAAACATAAATTAGCACTGTTAGTAAATTAAGTTTGGTAGTTTATCTTAACAAACCTTCTCTCCGTTCTTGATGAAGATGAACGTTGGCATGCAACTGATTCCGTATTCCGAGGCGACTTCCTCATTTTCATCGACATCGACCTTCAGGAAAATCACGTCAGTGAATAGGGCCGCCTATATAGTAAAAGATTATATTAGTTAAGAAATATTTCAAGTCATCATTCATAAATATATATATTTCTTTACCATTTCCTCCAATTTGGGAGCCACCATTTTACACGGTCCACACCAAGTTGCGTAGAAATCGACGACAACAAGCTTGTTTCCAGCATCCTTGAGCTGGGTGTCAAAGTCCGACTGGAATTTTAAGAAAAAAAACAACTAAAATTGAGACATGTTTCGTCACCTGCTCATTTACATACAAACATACATCATCATAATGCATATATAGCGTCACGCGCTGCTGACATCATAATGCATAATGATCATGAATTTAGAAAAAAAAAATGTCATCCCTCCCTCGCCCACGACACAATCTTATCACCAACCAATGCCATGCCATTCATTGTGCATTATCATCTTCAACTCGTTTAAATAAAGTCGTTCGTTTGAACAAAGTTGAATTGTTCCAGAAATCTCGTCAAGTGCAATAACGGTCCATAGTATATTGCTAATAAAGACGGCATCATGACATCCCTTCAAACACAACGTTATAAAATAAAGCCGTCGTGGTGGGTAAAGTAAAGTCAAAAGCTAAAAGCTGATCCCGATTTTGTATTATGCTATATACACCTTATCCTTTGTGTAATCATCCTCCGCCCCAATTCCATTTATCGACCCATGATTCCTAGAAATATAATATAACACAAGACACAAAGGAAAGGGATCCGCCATCAGCCAACAACACGACGAGAACATCAGAGAAAAACAGAAAATAGGACACTTTCCCTCAAGCTAATATGTCTATAATGTTAATGAATATAATACCCGACCGAACCGAATCCGGGTATTTTATCAACTCTCTCTCTCTCTCCTACTAAATGCTTTTGCATGTTTTCCTCAAGTCCACTCCATGTCTACTACCTCTTACTTTATATCCACATATATGGTGGATAAGTGCGTTGGCTTTTTACCTTTTGCTGGTCTGGTCACAGGTGCTGCGATGACTGCAACGACTACAGTATTAATAATGGTGCGACACGAAAAATGGATTAGGAATGACGATTGATGACAATGACGGGGGCATGAATGAGTGGGATTTACATACATAAATCAAAAACGGACAAATTTATCCCATTTTCTTCTAAAATACATACCATAAATCCCACACTGTTAAATGACTAACCAGTCCAAAAACTAACAATTAAGTACAAATTGCCAATTTTATCTCTGACTAAGACAGGGATACCTATACACAATACGAGTCAAGGTCAAACTTGCCCAGAGGCGAGTGAATGAATACAAATATAAAAATACCGTCGCAAAATCCTCCCATATTTTCAAAATTTCAGTACAAAATTTTCGTCACAGTCAAAATTCTCACCTTATCTTGGACGGAGTGGATGAGCGACATTATGCTTGCTGGATAAGCTACGAGATAAGCAACCTCCAAAAAATATTTGTCTCGGAAGAAATCAAGCTGGGAATGCAAACCCGGCGAAAGGTAGAGCGCAACTGAGAACGAAACTGAACTGCACCCAGAACCAAACCATGAACTGACTGACTGACTGCTCATATGCCATACACTTTCAGAGCTGGAAATATGAAAATTGTCGGTATTTGCCAAAATTGTGCAATTTTTTTAACCACCATAATTTTTTATGAGTGACTAATTTTGAAGGAAATTGGCAAAATTATTATTTTCGCAGTAAAACGTTTGAGTTAGAGTTGCTGTACGTACATGCAAAATTGTATCTCTTTCTACTAAACAGCTTCTTAATTTATTGAACATTTGACTCGTTTCTTCATTGTGTTTAGTTACACTACTTCTTATAGTTTGACCCATATTATACATACACTCATTTACTTACTTGCACGGTTTAAAAACGAAGGAAGGATGGGATCGGAATAATTTTTAGGTTTAGTAAATTTAAACGAGGAGAGTAGAATATAGATTAAGAAGAAATTTTTTTGCAGTATGGTTGGTGACGAAGATAGATCTTAAATGATGGTGTGATTATGGCGTGTGTTGCTTGATTTGGTTTTTTTCGTCGTCGTCGGTAGTTTTTAGTCGTCATCATCCCGCACGTAAATAAAGTTGGTTCTCTTCTTCATTTATGCTATAAATCATATCATCCAATTCATGGTGTAATGTCCTGCTACTTAAATTTTTAATTGTACCTGAAAAACAAGAAGAGCGAGATATTAAATTTAGGGTTACGTTTTAAATGTCCAATATTGATATTGGAAAGCTACTCACACTAAAATTAGTCGTAGACATCCTTTTTATCTGCAATGTATTGGACAATATCTGCCGGTCTTAGTAGTTTCTCGGCGTCTGCGTCAGGGATTTCGAAACCTATAAAGGAAAATATTTGTTAGTAATTATAAACCTTTAGTTATTAGTTACGCAGCATCAAAATTGATTGTTGAACTTACCAAACTCATCTTCAATGGCCATAATGACTTCGACATGATCCAAAGAATCCAGGCCCAAGTCATTCATGAAATGTGAGTCAATTGTAAGCTAAAATAAATAAAAACATCAAAAATTTAAATGGTGAAACACCTTGAAATAAAATCCCAATAAGACCAAAAAGCAAATTAAGGTAAACCCATTCTTTGAAAATCCTAATTTTTGAAAATTCTTACAAATTAATTTGACAACTTGAATTTTAATCTCTTTAATTAAGGATTTTCAAAAATTAGGCCATTTCCAAACCATGATTTACCCACCTTGCCAACATCGACTTTATCATAAAGTTTAAGGACTAATAGAATTCTATCACGAATCATTTCCAAGGACAGAGGCTCAGCAGCAGAATAGTGTCGAACTTGCTGACGTCCTCCTAGTCCCTGCTCCAATTTTCCAATCGTCTCATACTTACATTATAAACATAATCTCATCAAATATATCTTATCCCTTTACGCACCTTATCTGCCGTGATCTTATCGAAAGCTCCCACAACTTTTAAAACACGGGCCCTTAATTCATCAACTTTTGCCGATGATCGCTCAGTCGCGTAGAATCGTCGCTGCGACAAAGGAACGAGGACGCTGCAACTCGTGGTCAGTACGTCACTCTAATATAAATACATTAACAAAATTACTCAACAAATCAACTTATCATTTAAGTTATTAATGGTACCTGAACAATTTTAGGAAGCGAAAGTGTCGTCAATGTCCGGGCGTGAAGAAAGCTGCTCGTCGTCGCGGCGGAGGCCGGTTTTGGCAGGGCACCCCGCAAAAATAGGCGGACGACGTTGCTCGCCATTTTCAGACTTTAATTTATAATTGGTTATTTAATTGTAATTAATTTTTGTGGCGAATTCGGCGCAAACTAAATAAAGTCCAATAATCCAGGGTGGCGAGTAGAGCTGAGAGAAGACTCAAACACTTCCCGACTTTCAAGCCACGGGAGCACATGGATCACTGGGGTGGGCAGGGTTTAGTCTGTCTGTCTCACTTGCTGAATAACTGAGTATCTTATAAAAAATTAATCCGACCACACCCACTGCACTATGTTAAATATTTTATGAAATAACAGTTATCTGAATATGTCGTGTCAAAATTTTGTAAAATTTTAGCCTCAATTTAGAGAGAAAGCGCATGGAGAACGAGACGAGCGAGGCAAATGAGACAGGAAGTGAAAGCAGAGAAAGCCACACCCACTGCATCGTCTTAATAAATATTTTATGAAATAACAGTTATCTGAATATGTCGTGTCAAAATTTTGTAAAATTTGAGCCCCAATTAGAGAGAAATCTTATGGAGAATGAGACGAGGCAAAATGAGACAGGACTTGAAAGCAGAGAAAGTAAAACGAGGAGAAAGTACTTTTCTTCGTTGGACTTTGGTTCCTCCTTTGCTGTCAAAAATGACAGTAATTGGGTATCAGATAAGCACGTAATTACATACGAAACAGAAATTGGATCAATACATGGTGAACTTATTGCTGCTTACATATTTTAGTGAGGCAAGTTGAGATTCTGCTTTCTCTTCTTACTTTCTCCATTACATTTTACCCTTAAATGGATCAAATGGAATGTTTTTAAGCTACCCACCCAATTTTAATTGGCAAATTTGTTTTTATTTCAGAAATCTAAATATTTCCTCGTTATTACATTTGCATTTCGATTTTCAAACATTTTGTCAACCCCGTTGTTATTATAAACTTACTTACTTTTCACCATAAGAATCTGGAACTTTTTCTTTCAAATTTGTTTAATTATTAGTTAACAATTCTTCATAAGTAACAGTGTTGTTTTGAGTACAATGTTTTCTTTTAGTTATTCGACTACTACTGAATTTGTGTTCTTCTGTTATTGCCACACTCTGCAGTATATTTTTTTGAACGATATATGCTGGCTGACCCTCATTGTCCGTGAGAAGGTACACTCTTTTTTTATACGCACCACCCCCCAGTACTTCACTTCCTGCTAACTTGCGCCATAGTTAAACTATAACATTGGCGCAAGTTAGAAAAAACCGTGAAATACTTTTAAACCCATATTTATCTCCTGATTGATTTGAATTTGTATGTTACATATTTTTCTCTGATTTTATGGACACAGTTTGTTTTGTTTTGTTTGTTTCGTTATTATGTAGATTTTTTTGTTCGTAAAATTAACTAATTGTTACGTTATCATTGCGTATTTTAATTAATCGTATATTTTTTCGTGATTCATTTCATTATTATAAAAAACAAAGGCCTATGAATTAAAGGTCAGGTATACATTTGGCTACTTTCTCTCCCCTCCATTCCATCACAATAAATACATTTCTTTTTTACTTCCCCCTATCTTAAAAATGTTCCATTTACTACTAAAAGCGGGGAAAGTGGGGTCGACGACGAGGCCAACGAGGGGTACGTGTAGTCGTTAAAATTAAAGATGAGATTCCCATACGTCACGTGGAACAGGAGGATGACGATGATGCAGGCAAAGTTGGGAAATAGACATACTTTGACCATCTCCATGATGCTGATGTCGCCACCCCCGGCGGCGAAGACGATCTGGAAATTTGGAAATATTGATGATAACCCACTTATCTAGAAGCTACTTGATCATCTTATCATAAAACCTTACCGCATTCGTGGGTGTCGCGACTGGAAGGAGGAATGCATACGAGCACGTCACCGTGGCCGGTAACGTTAAGTAGAGTGGGTGAATGTTGAGGCTTTCCGACTATAAATACATAAATAGAAAATAAATGTGGTGATAAGAGTGGCTTATCGAGCAAGATAAGTTACTTACCAGCGCAATCAGGATTGGTATCACAACATTAACGCAGGCAGAGTTGGAAGCCACCTGTTTCAAGTAGAATAAGTTAGAAATTAGTGAGCCAAGTAATTAGGGGAGCTTTACCTCGGTCAGCGTGGCGGTCAGGAACATGACCACGACCAGGATGACGGTGAGTGGGAGGGTCTCCACGGCGTGGAGTTGACGCCCCAACCATTCCGAGAGGCCTAAAGCGTCATTACAAAATTGAGAAATTATTGTTAGAAATTATTTCAAATTTCGAAATTTCTTACGTATTTTATGGAAACATACCGGAATAGACGACCGCGTTCGACAACGCGAACCCCCCGCCCATCAAGAGGATCACGCCCTAATAATAAATAAATAAATAAATAAATAGGGGAATAAATAAAATTTATTATCACAATGTCTCACATACCCCGGATTGCTTTCTCTCTTCCACTTCATTCAAACTCCACATTTTCATCATTTCTCTCTTATTTCTCATCATTTTAAATTTTTCTCTCAATTAAAAAAGTAATTTTAAAAAAATGGATCGTTTCGTTTTACGGATCTTCTTATTAATGAAGCTCTACGAGGAGTTTGGTATAACAAGAAGAGCGTAGCTCAATACGTCATCAAACACCCCACTGCTTGGTTCGTTATCGAGAAGAGATGGGAATCACCCCCTGCAGAGAGTGTGGTACAGTTTCAAACTGTTGAAGTATGACGCATTTTTGAAACCTAATTTGAAGTATTAAATATAAATATGTACCGTACCGTAACACTTTGTTTAATCCCTCAGATAATAATGTCGCTCCTCACAACAATCTACAACAACATGACTTCCGAACCAGCCGAGCAGATCCATTTTATCAACTGCGACATCATCACCAATGCAGGGAACTTGGAGGAGGTGAAGAAAGGGCTCGAGTTGAACGACATGGGGTTCGAAATAGGGGATGAGAACATTTCTCTCTCGTTCGCACTTTCTCCTCATATTCCCACCCCGTTCAACAACAAACTACCCTATGTCTATGTGGGATATAACAAGGAGGGAGGCTATCGATTCGGAGAAGACCATTCCAAGAAAAGTGAATTTACTGTGAAAGGATCCAAAGGCCACCAACTTTTGAAAGTCACGACGATGACAGGAATCGAACCCAACAATATCCACAATGTGTTCCAGGCTGACCCCTCCACCTTCACATCAGAACAAAGTTTGCAAAAGACGAAGGAGGTGGAAACTTTAGGTCATAAGGGGGTTCTAGTTGCTCAAATATTGGGTATGAAGACTGTTGATGGTCATAATGTTTATAACTTATCAGAAAAGTACACTCACTTCGACCATGGATGGGATGATAGTATTTTTAATGATATGATTGTAATGATGACGGGTAAGGGGGTTGTTGTAAAGAAAGAAAAGCTCAAAGCTGTTCCTACTGAGGTTAAATTTATGGTTCCAATTTATAAGACTGTGGGGGTCGGAGAGAAAGCGAGACAAGTTTTAGATGTTGATAAGATGAAAAAGGTTGGTGTGCAAAAGAAAGTATATGATAAAATTGTTATTTGTTGGATCTAAAAGATTTTGTTAAACCAATTATTCGATGTTTATTGTTTCCGGTTTTTAGCCCGAGTCAGGGCTAAATGAAGGCTGCACACAGGAGGTTTTTTTTGTTAATGAACTATTTCTATAAAAATAAAACTTGAATTCATAGAAAAACTCCCCTTTGCTCAACAAGTTAAGCAAAGTTAGTTTGGAACATATGCAAATAATTGAATCCGGACTTACGCCGACAGTGGTAAATTTTGAAATTTTTGATTTACAAACTTACCCAGGGGAGATTCAACTGTACGTATTTCCAATCTAACAGAGGCGGAGTCTTTGTCAGTACTGCGCCACCGTTATTGTCACCAACTGGAAAAGAATAATTGTAGATTATGAATGATACAGAGTGAGAATTTTGATGGGTGGATTTACCTCCGCAGAAGGTTTCAATATTTCGAGGGATGATAAAGAGCAGAATGACGACGAACAAGGCGGCCGTGGAGTCGCCGATGTCCGCATCGCTAATATGCTCGGCCCACCCCTTCATAAATTTTGGTTCTCGGAAAAGCCACAGAGCCACGATGATGAGGAAGAGGGCAAACACGGCCGACTCGTGGAAGGACGTTTTCCCTGTAAGGAATGGTCTCAGTTTGAATAAAAAAAACAGACAACAGCTTTATTTAGCCCGACTCAGGTTGTTATCAAAAATTGAGGCGGGTATAATACGACCACGACAACTTTTTTCAGATTTCCGAACTTGATTCATAATTTTGCATATTCTACTTGTGTGCAAAATTTCAAGTCGATTGGATAAGTTTTACGAGCGTAATTGATAGACAGACAGACAGACAGACATGACAAGTACATAAGTCCTGACTCGGGCTAAAAAAATGTCCGAGTAGTAATAATTATTATGTGTTACAAACCCAAGAGGCGACGTTTCTCTTCCAGAACTCGGGCAACCCTAGAACAAAATGGATTAATAAAACATTAAAATCGCATATTTTTTGCGTATATACCTATTGAGCGCCTCGGTCTCATCCGAGTTTGGAGTAGATTTTTGCTTTCGCCAAAAGTAGACCCAGTCCGGCACCCCGAGATACATGACGACCAAGTAGATGAAGGAAAATGCTATGTTGACCATCATTGGAGGGATGTTGTACGCCTGGCGGAACAGAATTTAATGTATTCTCCAAAGTCAGAGTGCAAATTTGTGTAAAATCAATTATTTATGTTTACTCACCATCCACGTTGCAAAACTGATGTCCACATACTTCCCACCTTGACCCACGTTCACTCTATCAGAGAAAATCATTAGATTAATTAACTATTTAATCAAATTAAAAACTACAAACAAAACCACTAAACAAGCGTCACTTACGGTTTTATGAGTTCCTGGAACACCAAATTGCTCGCGGTGCCCGTGATGACGCCAGTACCTACAGGACAAAATTACTTTATAAATGTGATCCTCCAACCTAAAGTTCCCGAAAGTTTCCTCGCTCACCTCCAATATTTGAGGAGAGTAAAATCGAAAAGAGCAACATCTTCTTGAGATTCAACCTTTTCGCCATTCTTATCTTTTCCGGATTATTTTCCGCGTCATTGTTCTCCTCGTGTTCGTCCTCGTTCTCGTTTTGTTCTTCCATCCTAAAGGGGAACATTATACATTCTCAATTTATGCTATGATTTTCACCAGTGGCCGCGGAAGGGTGGGGACAGAGGGACAATGTCCCCACGGTTGTTCGATGTCCCCATCATCTCCCCATCTTATATAAACCCCTGCCTCCCCCATCTTACAATGTAAATGTCCCCAGATGTCCCCACAGCTTCCGCGGCCACTGATTTCCACACCTAGACAATTTCAACCACTCACTGCATTTCGAACTGGATATCCTTCTGGCGATCCCTCTCCCGGATGAATCTCGTCAGTTCGGATGGTTCCAGAGGCTCGGGGTCGATTTTGAAGGACAACTGCTTCATCATCTTTTTCGGGGGTCGTGGTTCAGTGCGGAAGGATTCGGCCGGGAGGGACTGCTGATGCTTTAACTGGGCTCGTTTCTTCTTTATCTTATCGACAAAGGCTTCAAAGTCGACTTCACTCCTCTCCTTGAAAATCGAGGCGCGACGCTTTCGAAAACCGTGCGGAGTTTCGTCCGGCTTGGGAAACAGTTCTTCCAACACGGCCATCGAGATGGGGCAAACCATCGCGGCCGTGGCGGTGTTAGATAGCCCTGCATAAATTTTTGCAATAAATTTATGCAAAAAAAATTGCACATTTTTGCATAACTATGAAACACTTACACATGGACAAAAATGACGTGGTGAGCATAATTCCACACATGAGTCGGATTGGACTAACCCCCACCGTCGTCATTACGGTGAGAGCGATACGACGATGAAGGTTACAATATTCTACGGCCATTGCTATTATCAGTCCACCTGAGAAATTTGGAAAAAAATTATGAGCCTTGAAATTATGAAGGTTTTAGTTTTTCTAGATACTAATTTACTCACCCACAAACATCATGTTTGTCTCTTTCATATAATTTATCGACACTTTGGCTACATACAAAATTCAGAATTAAATATTTTTCAACACAGAAAAAATTATGACTAAAAGTTATCCCGGTTAAGAACTTACCCGTGTCCTGAACTCCCAAAAGGGGAAAGAGAACCATTGGTAGCTGAAAGTAATTAATTATTTAATTAATTGAGATTAATCTTTAGAATACCACCAAAGTTAACTCACCAGCGCAGTGATTGCGAGAGGCAACGCTGCAAACAAAAGTTCAGTTACAAATTTTCAATAGGTATCACACCTTTTTCGACGTAAGCAGTGGCCGCGGAAGCTGTGGGGACCTCTGGGGACATTTCCATTGTAGGATAGGGGAGGAAGGGGTTTATATAAGATGGGGAGATGATGTGGACATCGAATAACCGTGGGGACATTGTCCCTTTTGTCCGCACCCTTCCGCGGCCACTGATTATGTATCTACTTACCTTCCACCATCCAATATATAGCCATCAATATGAGAACAAAGGCGCATTTGAATTTCTAAAAAAAATGTCAAAAATAGTGAAATATCTCAATTTTCGAAATATGCAAAAATATTTTTGAAAAAAAAATCTATTTACGGTGGAAGGCCTCGTGTTTGGCGCGACCCCGATGACCTCATCGTCCGGGATGAAGAGGAGTGGGAGGAGGAGGAGGGGAAGACCAATAATCACGAAAAACTCCCAATTTCTCAGAATCCGTATTTGTAAACTTTTTAGACTCATTTTTCCCCTATTTTTATTATACTTTCCCTTGCATTTATGTATTTATTTATTTATGAGCAATCCCTACTACTTCAGAAACTTAAGGTCATATTTTCAGAAACGTATATTATGTAATTATTACTTATGTACTTATTACTCGATAAAATTCCTACTAGGAAAATTCGTTGCTCAGTCTTCTAAAATTCCTTTACTACGAAATGTCTCAAAAAAGTGTAGTGGATTAATTATTAGATTGCTAAGCTGGTTACATATTTAAGAATTATTGAATAATTTCCTACGGTCTCAAATTCCCGAAAAACTTGGACGACTACTCCACGAATGTATCACTAATACTGAACTGATGACTTCCTCGTATGCAAATTACAACAGTGTCGATCTACCTCCTGTAATACTGATTTCTTTCTTTTCCTCACCCTATTTAGTTAACCAGCACCATTAATAATTACGCGATTATTATTACAACTTCAGTACCACAAACTCCTTTTTATTAGCAATGAACTACTCAACGATGATAAGACGGCTTATCCTGCTACTGTTCAGTTCTTCAAATTGATACAAAATCCTATCACCACCACCACCAGCACCACTGTTTCTTCTTGTCCCACTACTAACGACCATGACCACGCCGCCGGGGTGAAAGATTATTATTCATTAAGTAAGCGTGGATAATTTACGGTTTAATGGAAGCATTAAAGACAAAAACTGCTCTTATTTATATGACACAAAAAAATGTAATGGTGAGAACTTAATGTGAGCGTCTGTCTCCTAAATTATCGCTAATTATTGAATGAAAGTTATGTATAAAGTTGATAAGATTATGTATTTATCTGGCGTAAATTATGAATTGGATTGAATTTTTTTTCGCGTGAAGAGCGTTCACGTGAAGACGACGGGCCGACTTGTGGAAGGGAAGTAATAACAATTTGTATTTTAGGTGTCTGTCTGCCTCTAGAAAAATCAAACGCATCAAATTTTAATTTATTGACCATTATTACATGTGAAGGAGTCCAATGTATATACTCTCCTATTTCTCGAGAGCTTTGTGGAGTATGGAGTACGTAATAAATTCTAGAAGTGGTCTTTTCTAGTGGTTGGTTGGTTGGTTAGTGGGTTGTATGTAATAAATGGCAAGGAAATTATATTTCATTCAGATATTTAAGTCGAGATTCGCATTATTTCTGCACTTTGCCATTCACATTTTGGTTGGTTGGCATTTTAGCATTACTTTTGCCATGCTTTTTCCTTGCATGCGGTTTTGCCTGCATTTTTGGGACTACCTACATATCCATGTACACAAAGGGCAAAATGTACGCATGCATGTATTTGTACCATACAAATTGTAGGTATGTATGTATGTATAAATCAAGTCGGTTTGGTACTAAAAGTATCCGTATATTACAAATACATGTGATTTCGTGATGCCGTCTTTTCTATTTTGTCGTTTATTGCATACCCGACAATATTTTTATATATGACATTTTGTTAACTGGCTGTTAATGACTTTGTTAATGGATGAATTATGTAGTTCGCTGGATAATAATGTGGGTCTGACTCAGGTTAGGGTAGTTATCACGTCGTAAAAGTGTGTAGTAGACATACGGATAAGCCATGAAAAACTTTCCGCTGACGGGGAGATTGAGACGCGTCTCATTTCGTGGAATCAATTGATGCATCAATTCGTGGTCTCATCATGAGGCGAATTGATAATTTGTTCAGTAATGGGACAAAGGCTTCATTTATATTTATGTATCTGTCGCCCCATTGTGTACCGTAGTCAATGAAATGAGAAACGTCTGGTACAGATTCTTTCGGTCATTAGCGTCACTGACGAGTGGTCTGGTGATTCAGTTTTCGTAATAAAAAATCTTCCAAACTGGAATTGCCCAGTGGACCTTTTTTGCGAAAAGTTTTGTCACGTACGCTAAATTTCTGTACGTACATAATTTATATTTTAGTACATATGCAGCACCAATTTTTACTAATCATAAGTACGTCAATCATGCACTTCATAATTGTCACCTTCAAGATCCGGTTGTAAAATTAACACCTGCCTTAAATCCGTCATTCCTAGATTTAGATTTTCATTATAAAATGTTTCCCATTTTTATGCGAGAAACGTGAATCATTGAATTTTCCATAAAAAATTTCCAACCCAGTAAAAAAACGTATATAAGTATTTCCATGCAACTTTAGTCATTTGTTCTTCTCGAAACACATAATTCTAATTGAGGTTCGTGCGTAAACCTAAGTACGTACGTAGAAAACGGAGCAGATGCCGTTTACTGATAATATTTATGTATAATGGGACCCAATTGGTGTTATACAAAATCTCATCGTCTCATTATTTTATTAAGTAGTTGGCCCATTTACGAGCCAGAGTGACGCACAAACAAACCACCAAACCCACTAAACCTATCAAAATATGTCCTTTCGTAAATACTAAACAATTTACTACATACTTGATCGGATTGGATTGATGGTGTCAAAATAAAAATAAAATAAAGAATCTCACACATTTCTCACATCCTGTCGTCCTCACATATTTTTTGTACCCTCGCTTATTTTATACCGTAGTAGTAATAAATAACTCCGAGTAGTAGTAAAGTCGTCCAGAAATAGACTCACGGCATATGTACATACTTAATAATTACACAATATGTACCAAACCAACCAACCACCCACCCAGAACCAACCACTCTGCACTAACTCTCGTACCACCGAGACACACACGCACCAATCGTATCACGAACAATGTGATGACGACGACTTACCCTTCCGAACGTATGTCACATTTACAGATTATTTTTAAGCTATTATTCTTTTAAAAGTCGTCCAATCACCGTACGCGCACCGAGCGACAGAGATTTCTTCTCGGCAAAATCCATTGTGTAACTGAGAACCTGGAGAAGATGGAAGAAGGGAAATCATGGGACGCATATCCATCTATATCAGCTACAATTCGGTTCGGGTTTTCCCCGAAGTCGGTCCCGTACTAGTGTGAGGGTGATGCTCACACTTGACATTTACGGGCGGCATGCTTTCCAGGCTGCAGGTTATGAATTGCATGGAGAAAGACATCATCACATCACCAATGTTCGCAGTATGGAGAAAGCCCACACTAACCAAACCGACCTTTCCCCAACTAGCAAATCGAGGGAGGGAGAAAGTCGTGGGTAAAATTGGATGGATTTTACACCAAAAGAGATGAATGAGTAGGTAGTCGTCGTAGTGGGAGAGGAAAATGCTGCATGGAATCAAATAGCTTTCATACATGATTCTGAAACCATCGCATTTTCACTAACTCGTAGTCACACTAACCACCAAAACCGATGAGGGCTGAAACGAAAAGCATGTTGGGTACGTATCATCCGTGTTTCAGACTGATTTATAGGCATGTTAAGGAAGAAAGAAAGCTAAAGAAGGTCGGCAGTAAATTGAGGTATTTTTACTCTTTTAGTGATGCACACGCCTCTTTTTCATTGAGGTCGGGTAACAATTATGTACATGATTGTTTCAATAATTTGCAACTTTTCTCCTGTTACATGCAAATTTTTGAGCATATTTTTCACACAAAACGTATGAAATGCGTCACAATTTTATGTACACACTAATTCTCAAATTTTCTCTTATATTGAAATGTTACATGAAAAAATTTCATGCAAAACATATGAAATGCATCTACGTGACCTAGTTTAGTGCTTAACGGCATGTTACTAATTTTGTCTCATTTTCCTCTTTCTCGGTCATGTCGATAAATTCGGATATGCAAGTATGCAACCCGGGTGCTCAACTCATACACAAGTGACCGAAAAACTACGCAAGTTGGGTGAATCATGCCATTTGTTAGTCATTCTCATGAATGCATGTAAATAGTAGTAAAAAGATGGATAATTATTCATGTTCTTGTGACTGAAAGCGCACATTAGCGAATCGCATCGCATCGCATGTCTGCCTCTCAAACTCATCTCATCTCATCTTTTTGCATGCAAAAATAAGTTGGCAAAATCCCGACTTCTACACAAATAAATACTGTCCCACCTTTCCTTCCTTACAAACTGTCTGTCTTCCCAAAAAAGTTCAATGTCATGCGCTAAAAAACGTTAATACACGATGAACTCACTTTTAAATATTTGGTATTCCGGATTACAATACACTGAAATAAATCCCACATCGATTCCCATCCCATAATTTATTTAGACCACTTTTTGTTTGTTTATTGTGTAAGACGCACAATAAGTGGATAACCAAACCCAACAATTTATCCGTTAATCGATAATAAGAAGAAGCATACATACCTACCTCGAGTAATAATTTAGTATTAGAAAGGGCTCAAGATTCTGAATTCAATTGTGACCTCAATCCACTCACGGAGAGAGAAACGTATCATTATTATTGTCGAAAAAGAAAACAATACAATTGATGCAGGGCATGCAGTGGCCGCGGAAGGGTGTGGACAGAGGGTCAATCTCCCCTCGGTTGTTCGATGTCCCCATCATCTGTCCATGTCATATAAACCCCTCCCTCCCCTATCCTGCAATGTCAATGTCCCCACGGCTTCCGCGGCCACTGGATATTTCGCTGCCTGCCTGCTGACCATTTATTTATTGCACACATGTTTTGACGAAATGTGACAATGGGATCATCGCACCAAGCCAACAAAGAAAAAAGGGTTGGGAGTTTCTAGACAGGATTAAGAGGAGACAATGACTGAAATTTGCAACAATTGCAAATAATTATCGGGTCTCAAAATCGATGCAGGTATGCATGCATTCATTCATTCCCGTGGAGAGAAAGATGGACGTGGAGGTGTCCCTGCAGTCAGAAATATTTAATACGATTGATCTTAATTATTAATGGATGTGGATGAAATTGACTGCATCCTTCTCCCAGAGAAGCAGAGCAGACACAATTGAATTGCTCAATTTTAGAGAGTCAGTCGAGACCAAAATTGATTTTCGAGTAGGTGACCAAATTAAATATTTAAGGCGACAGTTTATCATTTTTGAAGGATTGTGACGCCAGAAATAATTTTTATTTTTATTAAAGTGGAAAATTTAGTGCAGGTTAAAATTTTCCGGTCTTTCGATGTCAAGAGCAAAATTGTCGAGTAGGCAAGTGAATTAAATATTTAAGGCAGCATTTTATTATTTTTGAGCGATTGTGACGCCAGAAATAATTTTATGTAATTATGAAACTTTTATTAAAATGAAAGATCGAATAAACTTTCTGGCTTTTCGATTTCGCAAAATTTGAACATTTCATTGCAAAAATTTTCACTTCTTAAAAAAAATACGACATATACCCTTCTCGTGGATGTTGATGAATTCAATTCATTGAATTGAATCTCTCTCTCAATTTCTGCCCTGTTTGACATCAAAATCAAATAAAAAGTCCCTCCAGGAATTGTTTATTGGTTTTGGTTTTATTTTATCATCAATCGATACTCGCTACGCGTGCAGAAAATGAATCGATTGCACATTTATTTGTCTGAATTTTACAACAACAGCGAAGCCACTCTTCTTCCAAGTCCATGTTTAATTAATGATCTTCCAATGAAGGACATTTTTAATGGGTGTGCTGTGCATCTCTTTCATTTCAGATGCATAATCTCACAGATCATGTATTTATTAGTGCATAATGCAGTCTTTTTTGTTCACTTTATGTATGTACCTACGTACTTCATTACGCCGTGATTCTCTTGCTTGCTTGCTTGCTACTCGAGAACTTAAATAAGTACGAGTCCAAGGCGAAGGTCACGTTTTAAGAGTTCGTTCCTTCCAAGTACGAATGGAGTGATGGATGTCTGTGGCCCATTTGCTTTTGCGTGACCGTGTCGTGTTTCGTTAGTTTGTAGGTGATGAACTTGGCTTCAGCCAGGATACGGAATAGTCACGCTACATCGCATCATATAAATACTTGTGTCTTGATATGCCAAACATCATCGTCATCTTTTTATGTAACTGAGGAGCTAAGCTACATAATACGACAACAACGAAACGAGTGAGCAGTGGGATGGATGAGATACACGAGAAACAAGGTTATGAACTACTGGATTACATATTATGAGATGATGATAGCCTGCTTTTTGCACCCACTAACCAACCAACCACTGCACTGACAGACTGAGAAACGGCGTAAGTATTGGTATAAACCGATGAATCATTTCTGCATGCTCATCCGATAGAATTTCGTACTGGATTCAATGTAGTATCGATCACCTCTAAAACCTAGACCTGAAAAATCAGACAAAAACTCAAACAGAAGCAGAATTATTGGATATTATGCACTCTTCTAGGGGAAGATAAAAACGCTTCATTTATACGTCTTATCGGCAGCATCACCGGTCGGCTTGTGTCAATGAAATATGAAACGGATGGATGAAATGAAACGACGTAATACCGATTTAGATTACGAAGCCTTTCCTCGAAATGTATGTACCTGACTGACACTTGAGCACATTTTTTACGGGTTGTTACATATTCGTGCTATCGGTCAAGGATCTGCAGACTGTATGCACAAATGTACGATGTACATACGTATGTACATATACAAAATTTAGCATAGACGCCACTGCTCTGTGCCGATCCAGTTTGTATGCATGGAAAAGAACCGACACGGACACACCTCCCAGTCTGGCCAATAGACGGGAAGGTAGGTGACGGCTTCTGGTATCGTGTCGTTAATCAAGATAATTATTACTTATACATATTTTATTCGCGGTTGGACGACTCACTTTACTTGGACGCGTACAGTCGTCATGTATTAAATGAAATGGCAAAGTTTGCAAAAAATTGGCAAATTCCAGTCAGCCTATGAAATTGCGGTTATATCAGAGAGTAATTTGTATGTAATAAATATGCATCCATTTATTTTTTTGTGCTGCTAAATAATAAATAAATATTCATGAACAATTATTATTTTTCATTCCAATTTCCTTGAATTCATCCAAGAAAACTGAACAAACCAGACTTTTCTGTGGTGGTTGTGGTAGAACTTTTCCTCTTCGGGAGGCGAAGACCTGGAGGAGGACCGTACTGCAGATCGTAGTCGTGTTGGTCGGGTCCCTGTTTATGGCCACGTGGTGGTGGTCCAAGGTCATGTTCTGGTCGCTGTTCATATTTATGTCGTCTCGGTGGCGGTGGTGGTGGTCCATATTCATTACTGTTCTCATGATGACTTGGTCTCATCAAATGTGGATGAGTTTGATGATTTTGCTGTCCCGTTGTTGTGGCTGCATTCTTATCTTCATTATCCTTACCACTCGATAAGCCCGGAACGAGGGATTTAACCTTGTAAAAAACCGACTGCAAAAAACTCGAGTTCAACTCGTCATCTTGCAAAACTCCGGTGTGAGATTGGTTCGTGTGGTCAAAATTCACAAAATTGATATCATATGGATTAAACGGCGGTGGAGTTGGTCGTGGTGGTGGTGGTTTCTTCTTCTTTTTGGGCTTATCTTCCTCATCGGAATCTTCCTCTTCTGAATTTTGGTCATCTTCAGACTTATCTTCGTCCTCCTCTTGCTTATCTTTCTTCTTCTTCCGCCGAATCGTTATAGTAATAGTTTTCTTCTCGGTGGAGGCATCGTCGTCTTCCTCGTCGTCGTTGTCACCTTCTTCGTCATCACTGGCGCCTATCGTGACCTTCTTTTTGTCCCTGTTTGATGGCGGAAAAGGCGGAAGTTTTGGGATTTCGAGAGGTTTCTTGCCCTTTTTAAGGAGCTCCTCCCTCTCCTTTTCGGCGAGGAGGACTTGCTGATAGTACGCGTACGTTTCGACACGATCGTCACTGGGGACGAATTCCTTGACGTTATTTTGCGGATTTTTGAGCAGCAGGAATTTGTTATTGTTCGCGACCTTGTTGGCTAAAGCGGGTCTCTCTCTTAGGCCTGGAGGTCGAATGTAGGACAACAAAGCGGGCGTCGGTTTCGACACGGGGCGCGGACCGCGGCGGATCTTTTTCTGAATCGTGTACGGCGCGGGGGTCACTTTCTTCCGCTTCATGGTTGCCAGAGTGGACGCGTTGATGAAAATGGGAGCAAATTCGGGCAACGGTTTGCTCGGGGGGATGTACGAGGCGACTTTGGAGAGCACGTTGAAATTGTAGCCGGGACCGCGGGATGCGATGGAGCCAGCGTTTTTGGAAGTTTTTGGGTTTCCAAATATTTCTTTGAGGACCTGCACCATGAATTTTGTAAATATGTAAATTTTGCTTAAGATTTTAGTTAACTAATTACAGTACCCATTCTTGATTTGGGGACCAAACTCGACAATCGTGTTCTTCCACTTTGCTCTGCTCTCTGAAAAAAATTGGTACAAAATTTTCTAAAGATTTTCAAAATTCTTAAAAAAATTAAAATTATGAAACAACTAACGTTTTGTACAGACAACGCTGCGCTTTTTCGCTTTTGATGAGGTACCTCCCTCTCCCCACGCTCATCAGTTTCCACAACTTTTTCACAATTTTCCCCTGTTTTAGAGACTCCTCGTCATACGAGACGGGATAATTGTCCCCGAATTCACGTGGTTTTAGGGAATATTCGGAATTTGAGAGCTGTAAAAAGAGTAAAATATGATGTCAGTAGCATGACCTCGTCTTGACCTTGACATTTCTAAAAATAACTCCCACCTCAACTATGTCCCACTGTTGCGCCTTTGAAATCAGGGTGCTCGCATTGACCGTGAATGCCCTCGCGAAACCGCCATACTTCGAACTGACCGTGAGCACCGAGGCATCTGCCGCATTTTGCAGGACAAACCGTCCCGATTTCACCTTCGGCCCACAAGCCGACGCTGATTGGACCCTTTCCGCAAAATTGATGAGGGAAAGATCCATCTGATGGATCGTGTGGAATGGCTGGATTATCGTGAGGGCTCCCTTGCACAAGGGCTCGTCATACAATTGCACACAACTCCCCAGCGTATTCACCGAGGCGGCTTTGGACGACCAGGAAACCGGAAATGTGGAACATTCCGTGTCACTAACTTCCACGCGGATCGATATCCCTGCCAAATTTTTGTGGAAATTCGGAAATAAATTTTGGAAATATATTTCTCCATCCGAAACAAAATTGTGTAATCACGTCACTCACCGTGCCGATCCTTCTCCCCAAAAAGGTCGAGTAACAATCCCCCCGCACTTTTCGAGTGGAGAAGAACAATCCCTAAAAAAATCCAGGCGGCTGACCTCTTCATGTTTTGAAGCTATTAAAAATTCTAAATTTTTCCTAGCAAATTTTCATTCACGACCACGGCCACATTTTTCAGAAACACGCACACACAAATACAAATACGTCTAGAGTTTGTCTTGATCAGAAAGTTAATGGTACCACTTGGATGATAAGATGCGTGAGAGTGTGCGACATTGACATTGCAAATGATGCGATTTGATGGAAAGTTGTACATAATTTTTTTTTGTACTTCCGCTATAAAATTCGACACATTATTACGACCCACGATTAGGGTGGACCATTAGAAAAATAAGGTATAGTCACTCTCCCTTTGCATAATTGTAGCAAAGCAGTGGTGGTGGTGGTTGATATTATGAAAAAAGTTACCTCATCCCATGTCATTCAGTCCTGCCTGACATATATCATCATCCTCGTGGGCTTTGCTTTGACTATGTCGTGGTCATGATTTCGATTTCTTCTTCTTCTTCTGAAGACAAAGCTGTCGGACTGCTTTTCGATTTTGTGAAAGTTTATTGGCAATGCCACTCTGTACAGTGGCCGCGGAAGTGTGCATAGTTATTCGATGCCCCCATCATCTTCCCATCTTATATAAACCCCTCCCCGATCCAGCAATGTTAATCTCCCCACATGTCCCTACGGCTTCCGCGGCCACTGCGTACAGACAGATCCGACCAGTAGGAGCCAGTTTATGTATGTTTTAATGGCAGAACGACGTACAGACATGCGTAAATCGTCACTTTATTAATTTCCTCCGTATTATTATCATAATGCATAATTATTACCATAATTTGTACAAATATATGTAAATTTGTCATCCCCACGACATCACCCAATGAACTTGGTGACGACGATGATAAAAAACAAGCCCGTCCAAATCGTCGAGACGGACGTCATGATTCCTCGACCTCGACCTTTGCCAGGTTTCCACGCTTCCGGAGGTCCGTCCAAATTCCAGTAGAATTTAACATCCCCTTGGGCGTAGGTCCGTTTTCCGTTCTCGTAAATGATGATGAAGGGTTCGACCTTGGTGGGGAGTTGGATGACCCGGATGGGTTCCGTAATCGTACCACAGGCGTATTCCATCCTGATCGGGGAGCCTTGACTGGCTTGGAAAATGGAGACGAGTGGGGTCAAAGGGGTGGTCGGGGGGCAGGGTGAGGTCACGTTGTACCTGGATAATTAGGAATTAATTATGTATCTCATTTACATAATTAATTAATTATGCAAAAGAGATAGATACCTGTACAAGACAAACTCCGTCGGAGCTGCCAAAGTCCATGACACGATCTTGTTCGACACGAACGGTCCATCGTAGTCGACCCATGAGCCGTCCGGACCGTATGTGTAAGACTCAAAAATTTCCCCCGAGGGTGGCAACATGGCTCCGCTGGGTTCAATCTTGACGGAAAATCCGGTCCCTTGAAGGGCCTGGTTCGTTCGAAAGACGAGGAAGACGAGGGAACTGTTTACCATGCAGAATTGGGTGCGACGTGACCTGCAAGGACATCGCTAGGCTGGAAATTAGCCATATTTTATGTACTGGCCGCGGAAGGGTGTGGGGACAGAGGGACAATGTCCCCAGGGTTATTCGATGTCCCATCATCTCCCCATCTTATATAAACCCCAGCCTCCCTTATCCTACAATTTTAACGTCCCCAGATGTCCCCACGGCTTCCGCGGCCACTGATTTTATACAAGTTTTTTTCTACGTACAAAATTGGCCCGTCGCAATGTGGCCCCGATCCTGCCACGGGGTTCATTAATTTGCCATCTTTATAATAAAATATTTCCAGGTGGTCACCCTCCTCGGCGAACCCAGCGTCAATCAAGTCCAGGGTGACGAGGGGATACTTTTGGTTGACGATGGTCCACACGCATTGTTCATTTTTCTCGTACTGCTCGCCAAATTTGTAGCGGATTTCTCCACTTCCGGTAACCGTACCGCCGCATCCGGGACGACCTGGGGAGACACTTGTTGGCTTCTTCGTCGTGGAGGGGACTGTCGCGCCTGGAAATTTTTAAGAGAGAAACGTTACCAAGTTTTTGCGAGAATTACAATTTTTGCAATTTTGATTTGCAATTTTTTTGCATACCTTCAGCCACAAGGATTATTAAGTAGGAGTAAATCAGGATAGAAAACATGATGCGAGTTAAATTCGTAAAAATTTGTAAAGCCATTTTTTCACTCAGAGTTCAGAAACGATAACTTGTTGAGGCCAACTGCGTACGTGACCAGTTGGCAAAAATAATAATAAACCTTGCCTAAAAATTGCGACTTTAGTCCCACTAAACTCCAACGTATGTAGATAACAGCCCATATTTAATACCCAACTCGTACTTAAAAGATCGAGTTATTGTTAACTTTTCTGAAAAAGTGGTTATCTTTATACCTCATAAAGTAAGAAATTGCGGTATTCATTATCAAGATAAGCGTTACTTATCAGTCTTAATTTTACATGAAAACCAGTAACCTTCATTTTTCACTGGTAATAAATAAATATATACAACATACCTAAATCTGAATTTAAGTAGGTTAAAATTTCACGTAGAATAAAATCATCACCCAATTCTCATCATCACTTATATAAGATAAACCCCGCTAACATGGGTAAGATCTTATCTTCATATTATTTTTTTTAAATATTCTACACCCAATTAAAACTAATAGTCAATTTTTTGACAGTTAATCCACCCAAATTCTGCCCATATGCATAAACAACTTACTTATCATCCGATACCCATCATCATCCAGGAAGGATAATCCTTTCCTCTTCTCATATTCTGTCCTCCTCCTCTAATCCTAACCAACAACCTATTTAGCTAACCGGAGCGGAAGGGATGACGACGATGATGATGGGTTTACTTACATACACACGAAATATCACTGTTTACCGAGTTCAAGGACACACTTTAAGTGGTCCTTGATTACATAATGGACTCTCAGAAAAAAAGAAGGACGGGCCGAACGGCAAAACGATAATGGTGCCTAGACCAATAAATAAAATGACAAAAATTATTTACCTTTTTTTATTTCATACTGAAAAACATTTGTCGGACAATGAAAAATAGGGTTGAATTGAAATTGTACGTATTTTCATAAGAATTTCAAATCCTACAATTTATTTGTTGTCGCATTTTATTAAATTATCTGTAAAAAAAAGTTTTAAAATTGTTGGATTTATGTGCCACATATGATTTTTGGGTAAAGTTGAAAATTTTAAAAATGAAGTAAAAGATATGTACTGGGTCGTACCATAAGTATCAAACGGTTAAATAAAAAATGATACGTAATAATATTATAATGAGGGAACTCACGTCACAGTTTGTAACCTTCGTAACTGCGTAAGGTTTGTAAGCTTACAAACGTTTACGAACTTTTACACACATTTCTAAGGAAAATTGCCTTACGAACTTTTACGAAACTTACGCACTTCAAAAGCATGTTTTTGGTTCGTAAATAAAAGTTCGTAAATAATTCAAGTGTTTGATATTTGCATTTTCGGTTGAAATTGCCTTAGAGATGAATTGTCTATTGTAAACTTTTCATCATCATGCAAATTAATTTAATTACTCAAACAAAAGATTGCTCCAGCTGAAAATATTGGTCGCTATCCGACCAGCCCCCAAATGTCAAATCCGGGCTAAATTGACACACTTCATCCAGTGGGGTGTCAATCGATCGGTCTTGATCATACGATCATTTTGGTATATTATAGAATTTTGTGACATAAGAAATGGCTGTGTAATTCCTGAAAAACTGATATTTTAGGCAAAAAAAATCAAAAATTTCATTTCGTGTAAGGTAGGGAAAAGTTGGCTAGCAACATTTTGATGTCGTTTTATATACGACATTTTTTACCAAAAAAAACTTTACGAAAATGTTTACAAAGTCAACTCACGTCAAGAGTGTGTAAACTTACAAACCTAACGCAGTTACGTAGGTTACGAACTTGACGTGAAATCCCTCAATATTTCGTTTTTTTTGCTGAAATTTTAAAATTCTCGCCGTATTGGTAACTCTTCTGACTAATTTTATGCTGGTCGCTCTGGCTGGACTGGAAAGCATTTCTGTCCGCGATGACCTTGTCCTTTGTCCAATCTAGTCCATTCATCAGACCGAACAAATAAGTGTGAATTAGGTTTATGGTCGACTTGACCTATGGGCAGGAAGTACACAATGGAAATGAAGTGGACAATAATTATATGTACCTAATTCAGGTTAAAACTGCTGCAGTCACCCCTTTTTCATTTCATTGTTTTCCTTTAAATAATAAATGCGTTACACAACGAAAGGAATGGTCAACTCTTTCCGTTCCAATTGTCAATTTTACTACAATGATGCCGTACGTAATCTTTTGTGTGAACACCTGAATCTTATTTTTGTACCATTTTTAGACCACACGGACTTTGTTCAGTTTTGTTCTCGTACAACGACCCGACCAAGACGAAGAAAAAGTCAATCATGTCACTTTTCATGTCGAAACTGTCATAATTACAAATTTCTAAAAATCTCTGGCTTTCGAGACGAACAAACAGGCCCCCCTGGACACGTTCCCCATAATCCAAGGAAGGGAGACAAAGGACAAATAATTAATAATCCAGTGGCCGCGGAAGCCGTGGGGACATTAACATTGTAGGATAGGGGAGGGATGGGTTTATATAACATGGGGAGATGATGCGGACATCGAATAACCGTGGGGACATGGTCCCTCTGTCCCCACACTTCCGCGGCCACTGTACACCCATCAGTTTAACTTACTCGTCTGTTATCTCAGTCTGTCCAGCCCTGCAAACAACTAACTAACTGTTATCATTGTAAGTGTTGTGTAAGGATGTCAGTCAGTCAAACAACTGTCAATGTCAAGTGGGATTAGATAGTTGCTGGAATTTAGGAAAAAAGGACCCAACGCAATTTACATAAACCCTTTTTTCCCTTCCTTCACTCACATCCGTCAATGCTAATGTTTCCTCCTTTCTTAAAGACTGGACGGGGCATCATTCGTTGCGCAACCGAGAATAATGGGATAACTGGAATAATGGAATGACACAATTCTCTGTACCTCACGCAATCCGAATGCGGCTTTGGTTTGGAGTAAAAATCTTCCTTTTTCTAGAAATCTGGTCAGTCTTTCTTGAATTGTGGTTGGATCAGGAGGGGCCCTGTGACACACACAGGGCCCCTGACAACTTTTTGGGGAAATTGAGACGACGGACATCCACAAACAAGGAGAGGCAGATTGAGACTGGACTGGATTAAATCGAACGTAAGTTTATCTCAACTATTTGTTACTCCATCCATATGTTAATCATGTCACATTGGTGTGGCGTGTTTTATTTTAATTCAAATGGAAAGATATGACCCTGTCCTCCACGTCCACGTGCGTCTGAGAATTTTTTAATATTCATCTCGACGGGTGAAGGACGACACAGGGCGAGTAAAAGTATAACATTTGCAAAAATTTATATAAGTCATTCAATCCAAAATTTTATTGCAAACCGCACAATTTGATAAAAACATGTAGAAGGTTGCGCGATATGCTAAATTTTTACAAGATTTTGAATCACTTGAATTGCCATTTTGACGAATGAATAGGTATCACAGATCAATTATGGATTAATTTTTTATGCACTTTGATGCGACACAGGATGTGACGAGGAGAAGGAGATACATGATAAATCTGACGAAGCGTAAATATGTAAATGTAAATACCTTAAAGTTATTGACTTGAGTCATCTTTTCCTTCAATCTTGTTTATCAGACAAGGGCAACAGTGCGACGTGTCATGATTTATGGAGATGTTTGCGTCTGCATCCTTTAAACTAGGCTCTCAATTTTAATTATAATAAACAGGCAAATGTGGAAAATTATGAAAAATAATTCAAAATAATCTCTTCCTCAAGGTAGATCCGCCATTTTGAAACCGGATAAAGCAATAACCCTTTAAAAATCATTATTATTTCCACCATAAAGTAATTATAAATGATAAAATGAACATCATCATCATAATTGGCTGACAAAAATAGGGACGAAATATGCAAAATTTTATTTTTTATCAACAAATGTTTAAAATTAGGAAAAATAATTAAAAACAACATCGTGATCGAGGTAGATCCGCGTTTTGTAACCGGATAAAGCGATAACCCTTCAAAAATCGTTATTATTTCCACCATAAGGTAATTATAAATAAGAAGACAAGCATTGTCATCATAATTTGGTGACAAAAATAAGGATGAAATATATAACTCCTACTTTTGGAAGTAATGAATTAACCATGAAATGAATGGGACAACTGTCCTTGCCAAAATGGGCGAGTGAAAGTTGGCAGCAGTGGAGAAAGTTGGAGAAAATTGGCTGAAATCCGATTATACGAGAAATCCGATTTCACGTCATGTCGCACCAACGGATCAATAAAGATTCGTTTAGCTCTTATTGCGAGAATTTACTGAAATTGCAACATTGTAACGTCAATGGTTATAATTTTGCAAAATTGCTAATAATTAAGCAAATTTTTGCAGATAACCAAGTTCGGCCATCCAATGTGAATTTATTTTGGACAAGAAATTTGGGGTAGGGCAGGCCTCAGACAATATTCGCTCAGACCAATTAATTCTATTTTGTTGTCTTATTAACGAACCAGGCCAAGGATGGGATGGAACCCATTTTTCTCCATTTCAGAAAGACCACACTGTCTGGAAATTGTGCCGACTGAGCAGTCCAACTTTTTTAAGTGGATCATCAGTCTCATTTTCATCAAACATAATTTGTTCTTCCGCTATTGTTATGTCTTGACGAAACGGAATGAAAACGGGACTTACTTAACAATCACCAGTGGCCGCGGAAGCGTATGGGGACAGAGGGACAATGTCTCCACGGTTGTTCGATGTCCGCATCATCTCCCCATCTTATACAAACCCCTCCCTCCCCCATCCTACAATGTTAATGCCTCCAGATGTCCCCACAGCTTGCGAGGCCACTGACAATCACCTAATGGTAAGACCAGCTCAAACGAATCATGATATTGACAAGTTTTACGTAACGAAAAACTGGTAAATATTTTGATGCTTGCTGCACTGGAGCCGCAAATATTTAGGCAAATTGTTGTTGTTTTGTACAAAAAAATCATTCTAGATGGTTGTCGTTACGCTACTATAACTTTCCATGAAAGTCGTCAGCACGCATAATCGAAACCTGCACCAAATCATGTCAGACACAACATCATGCAACTTATGTAAGTATCTAATTGTGTCACACATTTCGCAACAAAGTTTACGTCTGAAAGATGACATGCACATGGTCAGCAGCGTCTTTTTTTATAGCATGCAAATGAAGTATATGTATATGCGTATGGATATACACACCATATCAATATCAGCATTTCTGTATTTCGAGATGTACATAAGCTACTATACATGTATCGATAATGTGCAAATATAATGGCAAATTAATGGCGAACTGCATCCACTCCTCTCGGACTCCATAAATAGTACAAGCTACACTGCCTTCCGTGACCACTTGTGAATATTTCCACTCGCTGAAATGATAGCTTTTCTCATCATTAGCTTCTCCCTGATCTTCTTTGGTTATCTCGCATATCGCAGAATTCTCCACTTTCGCACATTTTCCAAACATGGAATCTCAGGTTGTTGTGCCTTTTTTCAGCTAATTTTGAACCTTTTTTGTGCAACAAGTCGTTTGTTTTCTTTAGGCCCACCGCCATCTTTTTTTACCGGAAATATTACCCAGCTCCGCCAATCTGGAGAAACTCCGTTGACCGTGATGCACACCTGGGGGAAAAAATATGGCAAAATTTTCGGCTACTTTGTCGGCACTCGGGCCACCCTCGTCGTATCGGAGGTGAATTTGGTGAAGGAGATTTTGGTAAAAAATCGTAAATCTTGCGGAGATCGACCTCCCCTCATTGTCAAAATGGAGCCTGTAACGGACACCTTGGTCGGTTTGCGGGGGAGGCGATGGAGTCACGTGAGGGGACAACTTTCTCCCATTTTTGCGAAGGCGAGTCTCCGCGAAATGGGGAGGACGATGGCCGTCTGTGTCGCCGTGACGGGGGAAATTTTAGCGGAGAAAGTGAATAAAAGAGGAGGAGGAGGAATTGACGTGTGGAAATTGTATCAAGGACTGACCTGCGATGTGATTAGTAGGTGTGCGTTAGCGATGGAGGTGAGAAACCGAGGGAGAAAGTAGGCAAGGAAAAAATTAGGGGGTTGAAGAGATTTTTTAAATTTTTTATTGAGTTGGTGGGACTTGTCATCCATTTGATAAGTGTTGATAAGTCTGACAAGTTGATAAGTTAAAGGTAACATGTTAGAAAATCATCAAATTAACTAAAATTTCAAAATATTATCTGATTTTCGTCTGAGATTCCTTTCAATCTTGAAATTTCGACGCTAGTTTCCCATTTTAATATGTAACATGTCCTCATTTCAGGCATGTTGATAAGTCTGACACGTTCATAAGTTGAAGGTTACATATATACAAAACTCGAAAAACATCAAATTAACTAAAATTTCCAAATATTATCTGATGTTCGTCGCTGAAATTTTTTTTAATTTTGAAATTTTGAACACTAGCTTTCCATTTTAATATGTAAACTGTTCTCATTTCAGGTAAATTCCCAACGTGACAACGACGGTGACGAATTTTTAGCCGCCGTCCGTGGATTTTTACAACACGCGATGAGTCCCTTCATCCTCCTCGCGCTGTGCTTTCCCTCCATCGCCAAAGTGGCCGAGGTTGGGATGAAGGCCTTCGGAGTGTCGCATCTCATGACGAGAATGATCATGACCTCGGTCACGGACGCGTTGCAAAATAGGCGACGAGGGACAACGGACAGGAAACAAAACAACAATTCATACGGTGAGTATGCAAAGTGAAAGTTGAGATTAAAAAAACTTGCTATTTCTTTACAATTAAAAAAAAAAATAGTTGACGTCCTCCAATTTATGCTGAATTCTGGAAAATTGTCCGACCCTGAAATTTTGGCGAATTCTTGGATCTTCATTCTCGGCGGGTTTGAGACCACCGCATCCGCTCTGACTTTCTCCACCTTGCTGCTCGCACAACATCAAGACGTCCAAGAAAAATTGGCGTCCGAATTGGAGAAAGTTTTAGGGGTAAATTTCCGAACTTTTTTGAAAAAAGTTTTTTTCAAAAAGTGAAAGTAAAAATTTTCTCTCATTTAGGTCGACGAAATTCCGACCTACGATCAAATCCAGAATGTCAAATACTTGGATAAGGTCGTATCCGAATGTCTCCGCTTGTATCCACCTGTCGCCACGTTTGTGACTCGGCATGTCAACCGTGACATGAATTTCGGTGGTATTACTCTCACTTCCGGTTCTACGGTGCAGGTTCCGATCTGGGAAATTCATCACGACCCGAACCTCTGGCCTGATCCGGAACACTTTGACCCGGAAAGGTTCAATCCTGCGGAGAAAGTGGGGCGACATCCGATGGCTTTTATTCCCTTTGGGGCTGGACCGAGGTCCTGCATTGGGGCGAGGTTTGCCCTCACAGAGATCAAGATGGCGTTGGCACATATTTTTATGAAATTCCGGTAATTTCAGGAGGATTTTTTTATAAATACGCGAAAATTTTGGATTTATAAATATTCGTATATTTTTCTGAAATTTCGGGAGGATTTTTTTCTAAATACATGAAAATTCAGTCTTTATAAATATTCACATATTTTTATGAAATTTCTGTAATTTCAGCAGGATTTTTGTCTAAATACGTGAGAATTCAGTATTGACAAATATTCACATATTTTTATAAAATTTCGATAATTTCGGGTGGATTTTTTTTCTAAATTCAGTTTTTATAAATATTCGTTTTTTTTCTTTTCAGTGTACATGCACCACCGATCGACTGGGCGCCTAAATTGGCCGTGCCTACAGTCACGCTCGTACCTGGGGAAGAGATCAAGCTAACTTTCTCCTTGAGAAGGAATGTATCTTGAGGATTGTTATGGGTAGAAGTTACCAATTTTTTGTAATATTCAGATATTTTATTCATTTTACATTTACATATTTAACTGATCATAATTTAATATACTTTTTGCGACCATAATTAATATGTACTTCCTGTTATCATAATGAAATCCAAGTTGACACACAAAGAAAAAAATCTTGTCTTGATAGAAACGCTTGGTTGACCAGCAAAAGCTTTCAAGGCATTTGTGGTTGGCTAATCGTAAAAATCGATACAATTTGTAAAGTTTTTTTTATTTAAATTTTAAAGTGAGTTTAACGTGTATTATCACTTCTGGCAAAATACTAGTATTTATGGATAACGAAATACTTTAATTATGAGTATTTCTGTAATAAAAAACACTTGTTATGGTTAAACATTTTCAAAGTAGGATAACCTCTATTCTTTCATTGTTAATTGATTCGTAGCTATTTATTTATTAAGTATTTATTTATGTGCTATTTAATAATTTATGTATGTATTGGATAAGATTATGAAGTAATTGTTGTGTGCATGCCTAGTAGTCAGACTGACGAGTTTAGTTATTCCATCTGAGTGAAAAGCATAGCTGAGTGAATAATGCCGGTGAAAATGTACATAAAAATTAGTGATACCATAAATTATTTATAAATAATGTGTAACTATCCAATGGGAAAATTGACCTATCGTAAAGGTGTCAATTTTTTTCTGCAAAACTTTCCACAATTTATCTGTATGCAAATTTTATGCAGTGTTAAATGTGCAGGATTTTTTTTCTAAAGACAGTTCTCTGCCGTAAGTTTCCAAAATGTTAGGGATGCTTTGTGAAAAAAAATTGGCAAATTTTTGGCAGGTTGATATTTCACAATTTAACTTTAGTTTTCTATGCATATATTTTTTGCACATTTTTTTTGTGCTCACTATCTGTACCATGCATTACATAATAGTGTTAATTGCCAAATGTGTGTAGTAAATACATATTTATGTACCATACCCTAAAATATTAAGTATTCCTACAACTAATTAGTTAACTTAATGCGTGTCCAAAACTGTGATACTAATTTCCGTTTTTATTACAGATAAAATGTTTAACTTGCTCAAAACCAAATTTTTATTCGCAATTTACTCTTCCCGATAGTAAAACAAGTCTTAATTTTTTAAGCATCACTTTATTATCATCCACCTTCGTCATCATCATCATCATCTCCGTCAAGCAGGCTTGTTTCATTCTCCATAAAACATCATAATCCAGGATTACTTGCTTACTTACTATTAATGTTACATAACACCACAACCCATTTAATACATACGAATAGGAATAGCTATAGATTGGATTTCTAAATTAACAGCCACACTAAAACCTAGTATAGCTACATAAGTACTTATCCTCATATCCCATGCCGGCATAAACTTTAGGATTCGATATATGTACACATGCACATACACTTTCATTTCATACATAAAATTAAATCAAACTCTCTTAGCACTTCGTCTCCTTCTTGGCAATGAAGTCCTGATCATGATGGAATACGCTAACCAACTAACTGGAAGTTTATCTCAATCTTCATCCATCCTCTTCATTTCAGCCGCATCACGAACTACTGGAGTTCATATAATTATATTCATTTCATCCATACCTATCTCACCATCATTAAACATGAACTCCTAAATCTCAACTTGGATAATACAGCCAAGCAATAAAAACAGCACAGTTTTCTCAATAAGTCTTTAACTCTTCTCGTATTCCGTTCCTGACTTTATCTTCATCTCTTCGCGTTACGAAAAAGAATCCAAATAACACGATGCGATAAAGGCTTTTTAATCTGAATGAATGCCAAGACAGAAAGAGAGAGAGACGGAATAATTTTTTGCAAAGCAAGTTCAGTTCTTGGGTGTAAAGGGTGGGACCAAGAAGTTCGTTGCGGGATAAGAATAATTAATCTACAAAATGCATACTTCCACGCTCTTTTTGGTCTTTGCGGCCCTAATTACGACAGGTAATCAGGGCTTATCTAATCATCGTGCGTCTGTCTGTCGATAAGTCCCGTATTTTGATAACTCTCCTCTATTTTCATATTTAGGGTTCGGAATCAAGTGCTACGTCTGCAACTCGAATGACCACGAAGGGTGCAAGGATCCCTTCAAGTTGGAGGATGCCTCGTCCTACTTGCGCGATTGTGGGCGCGAGTTGAACAAGACGCGCCATGTCGACCCCGAGAGTGGAAAAGAGGTCTACACCAACTACACCTTTTGCAGGAAGACGACACAAAAAGGTGACCCCGATGATTTTTGTAAATTTATAAAGATTTGTGAGATGGAAAATAAAGTTATAGTGTCATTTTTTCAGCTTCTCTCGTTGGAATAAAAGCTGAGGACAAGAGGGTCGTGCGAAGCTGTGGATATCTTCCGGACAACAGACTCGTTCCAGATTCGGTGAGATATAATTAAAATTTTGCAGGAAATATGATGATAACGTAAAATTTTGACCAGATTCGATGAGATAATTAAAATTCGGCAGAGAAAATTACGATGGTATCCTTAACGTAAAGTTTTGACCGGGCTTGAAAATTTCCACTCTATTTATGACAAAATACGAGTGGCCACTCCCACTTTAGTCAAAACTTTGCATTAAGAAAGCACCACCATTGGCTTGAATTTTTGCCCCAATTTGGCACAAGCACAAAGAACATCGACCACTTTTATAGGCAGAGTTTTGTTTGATTGACATTTGCCCAGATCAATTAATGATGCTGATAACCTCTCTTGGTGACCCTTTTAAACCTTCTCCAAACTTGATGAGCAATAACTAATTCCAGACAAAATTCAGTTAAATAAATAATAAACTGAGATCATAATAATTAAATAAGTTCAAGAGTGGAAAAGACCAGTTATTTTTTTATTACTGGAAAAATGAGTTCAATTCTTCTTTCTTGCAGGATGACGATAAAAATGCGCTGAAATGTTACCGCAAAGTGGGAACATTTGAAGTTGAAATGCTCTACTGTGCCTGTTACGCGGACGAGTGCAACCCTGCCGCGCGTCCCGAACCCGTCGCGGTCGCTGGGGTCGTCGCGGCTACCGTTTTGGGCATGATTTTTACTCGGTGGTTCTAATTTCATTTTCATTTTTAAATAAATAATAAATAGTGCAAAAGGTTTAGAGACAGAAAAACAAAACTTGGTGAATATTATCCAGAAAAAAAAGTGTTCATTTTAAATAAAAGTCAGTCGGATTATTAATTAAATCTTGTAATAATTAATTAATTGTTGTTGTTTTATGTTGTTGTTAAATTTATTTTAAAGGAAAAAAGTACATAAAAATATTTAAAAGACAAAAAGAATCTTGTTTTCTTATTTTCACTCGGCAATTTGCATGAGATGAAATCATGGAATGATCCCAAATCCAGTTTGTTTTGATTACATGACAAATGTTAAAGTTCAGAGTCAAATGTTGGTTAAATTTAATGACGGCATTTTCACAGAGTATTAATCAGATTGCATTTCCTTTGACACTAATCCACATTTCGTTTGGTTGCTCCTTAATTATTAAAATAATTAAAGTTTCCTAGAAAAATGGCATATCAAAGTTTTCGACCGTCTGCCCCCATCATTTACGACGTTGGTATCATCGGGGCCGGCGTGATGGGTTCCGCCACGGCGTATTTTCTCGCCAAAAATAATCCCGACTTGAAAATCCTACTTCTCGAACAGTTTGACCTTTTGCATCGAAAAGGGTCATCTCACGGGGACTCGAGAATTACCAGGATGACTTATCCGCAAGAGAATTACACCCAGCTCATGATAACGAGGGCTTATCCGCTCTGGGATGAGGTCGAGAAGGAGGCAAAGACCAGGATTTTCACAAAGACGGGTCAGTAAGGAGGGAAAAGGTAGGTTTTTTGGCTACTTTTTTAAAAATAAGTGTGACATTTGTTTAGGCGGATTGGATTTTAGTCGTGAAAATAATGTGGAAATGAGACGGTTGATAAGCGTGGCACGAAAGTATGGCGTTGGAATCGAAGTTCTCAGCCCGTCTGATGTGAGGCATCGTTTTCCCTTGATTACCATTCCTGACGGTTGGATTGCGGTGTACAGGTGAGAATAAAAAAAATACTTATCTACCATTCAACTTATCATTGGCTTATTTTTCGTATGTATTAAAGTCCGAGTTCTGGCATCTTAAATGCGAACAAAGCAGTGTCCGTGTTCCAATCGCTGTCCGCCAAGAGAGGCGTTACTCTTCGGGACAATGTTAAAGTCGTGAAAGTCAAATGGGACCAGTTTTGCTATGAAGTGGCGACAGAGAAGGGGGAGATTTTTATGGTTAAAAAAATATAAAAATACAATTGTATGTACAAAAGAGATTATCTTGATCTGAATATTTTTCTAAATAGGCAAGGAAGATAATCTTCACGGCGGGGCCATGGACTCGGAAATTGCTCCAGAAACAATTCGGACCTAGGAACGATCTCCCTTTACAAGTCCAACAGACAACGATCGCTTATTGGAAAGTGGACCCTGCACTAATTTCTGCTTATCACTCGTCTTCCTTCCCAGTTTTCATTAATTATGAAGGTAATTAGCAAATCAAAGATAATAAATGTTCATAATTCAGTAAAATGCAGTGGAATCGGACGCGTGAGGACAGAGGGACAATGTCCCCACGGTTAATCGATGGCCGCATCATCTGCCCATCTTATACAAACCCCTCCCTTCCCTATCCTACAACGTTAATGTCCCCACGGCTTCCGCGGCCACTGCTAAATTATGTTCATTTACAGACCCATTCCTTTACGGTACACCCGCCCACGAGTTCCCCGGTCTGATAAAATGCGCTCTCCACAATGGGAAAGAGGTCGACCCTGACACGCGAGACTTTGAACCCGATGTGACCGGTTTGACGGAAGGTGTGGCCCCATTCCTGCAAAATTTCTTCACTCGCGTGGACCCAGTTCCTGTGAGGACGGAGAGTTGTATGTACACCGTGTCACCAGATCAGGATTTTGTCATTGATGAGGTACAAATTTTATTGAAAATTGGTGTGATTTCTGAAAAAATAATTTGTCGACTTTTTAAAATGTTGCAAATTTTGTCGATATCATATTTAGGTGAATAGAATAAATCTCAATTTAGATATTCATAAACTAGAATTTTACAAAATCTCGAATTTGGAAAATCTTAAAGTTGTTAAGTTTTTGTTTTAATTAAGGTGTATGTTTACTACAGTAATTAGATAAATCAATAATCATAATAATTTGCTTAGTGTGTGCAAAAATTATTGGCAATAATGTCACTACACACTTTGTGATTAACTTACAGCTCCCAGGTCACGATGGTCGTCTCTTTATCGGGTGTGGATTCAGCGGTCATGGTTTTAAACTGGCTCCCGTCGTGGGGTCACTTCTGGCAGAAATGGTGACGAAAGGGGTGGGAAAATTGTCCCCATCTTCCACCCGAGCCGCAAAACATTTCACCATCCAAAGGCTCAAAAAGTCGTCCAACCTTTAATTAATTTATCAAAATTGTGACAATAATATTTAAAACTAATAATAAAGAATTAATAACAATATGTTTTATGAAATATCTATATTTCATATTTTTTTTTTGAATTTTTGGCCGATGAATTAGCATAACAAAATTTCAAGCAAAGTACATCATGACGAATATACAAAACATATCCATCAAATATACAGATATCAATTGATTTATTAGCGTACGATACAATTTGACCTGTAACCTTTTGCTTGGCTAACTCATCATCTAATCTTGCGTACAACTCTACAAAAAGCAGTGCAACTCAAACCCCAAGATTTATTCGCGTATCTTTTGTTCACTGGTAAAGTGATTAAAAGAAAAGACACAGCACTACTTTTTCTCAAAGTTTTCCATCATTTTTTCCCCCTAAAGATGAATACTCTCCTCCAAACTGTCTTCGTTCTTATCGTCTCCCTGGGAGTATCGTCCAGTCAGGTTATCGACACAGACGGGCCACCCACTTGGGAAGGTAATCATCATTATCATCCCATAACTAAATATCACCAACCTACTTTAATTGCTTCAGGCGCCCTGACTCAAACCCAATGCTCCACCTTCTTCACTTCCGGTCTGTTTGAGGGCATCTGTCGCCTCAACAATACTGCGTTGGACAGCATCACGTGCGACGTTCACTGTCAATGTGCTCACAACTCGGTGTGGGGCGAGTGCATCGACCGACCCGCCGGGACTGTGGGAACCATTGTCGAGTTCGGACCGGGCATGTGCACTTGTTATTATCAGGGCGGAAAAGCTACTCCGATTGGATGGACGGCAGAGCCAAGAAGTTAGCAATAAATGAAAAGTTAATTAATTAATGACCAATTAATTAACTATTAATTAATTAAATTCATGACAGATTCGGCCGTGTGTGCCGCGTACAAAGCGGTTGTCGAAGCGAATCTCTGCGCCCCAGTGAACCCACGCTGCATGGGGGACTGCGTTTGTGGACACGGGTTCAAAAATTCGGTTTGTACCGTTGCCCCGGAGGATAATACGAAATATTGCGTTTGTACGGACGAGCAGAATCCTGTGGCTGTGACGCAAAGTCCGGTGAACGATGTGGTCGGGATTATAGGTTAATAAATTCGGTCAGAAAATCAAAAATATTTTAATAATCTGAAAAAAAGGAATTGGAAGATGATGCTCAGAAATGTGTAAAAAACATTCGGGGATGAGATCATCTCATTATTTGCATTAACTTAAATTAGACTATAGTCTCCAATATTACTTGGTGATATTTAGATAACAACTTTACTAAAAACAGTGACCTTTGCGTGTGACACTACATACACGTGTAAAATCTTGACAAATTTGACCTTCACCCTGCCCAAGATATGGATTGAGGATTGATGACTACGCAAATAAAGTTGCAAATAAAGTATGTATCTAAATTTTAGGTTATAACACGATATGCAAAAAAAATACTGCGAAATAAAATTTTGTTGCAATTTATTCCTTCAAAAAAATAATTAAAAGATGCCAATGTATATAGTTTCCTACTCCATCAAATCAAGTCACAAAGTGCAGTATTTTCATACAAATTTGCTAATTTTTCGCAATTTGCGAATTTGAATCCTAACAGGAAATCCAGCTCATTATTATTCCATGTCATACCACTGCACTGTCAACTGTACGCATAATTATTATAATCATGTCACCAAATTATCCCCCTATTTTACTCTCTGATCCACAATTTATCCCACAAATTAAATTCTTTTCATTCATAAAATTCTATAAAATGGATAGAATTCGTGCCACATGAACTCAATTCTAGAAAATTACATTTATTTACAAAATGGCGAAATCAAGATTCGATTTAAAATTCGTCATCATCATCGCCATCATTCCAATCATCAATGGAGTCCCCCTTGACTTAAAGTCAATCGGAAGTAACTGGACGACCGAAGACGTTGGTAGGTTATCTGCTGATAAGTCATTTATTTACAAGCTTGTCTTATCTTAAGCTCACTTCTCTTATCAAAAATTCTTACTCGTCAGAAAACTTCAAGCAGAATGCAATCACTAACCTGAAACAACTCGCCGTCTTCAACTGCACTATGATTTTCTTCCCAATCGAAGAAACCATCCAGTCCTTGAAGGAATGTAGCAATTCCTTGACCACTGGTGGACATGGTCACAGACGAAAAAGAGACGTCATTTCGGAAATTGAAGCATTTTTAGGTTATCATCCCGAACCCATTCATTTTTTCACGTCGACACGAAACCGACGAGTTCGAGGCGTACCTAAAATTTTGACAAAAGGTGTCCACGACGAGAGTGAAGATCCGGTAGCAAATATTTTTTTATTAATTTCTTTGGTAGGCAACAGTTCGTTACCACCGTAAAAGAAAGTAGAAATTCACAGAAAAAGGCCACAGACAAATATCAGTAAAAGTCCCTATAATGTTACTAATTGCCCTAGTAGCTCAGAGGTCAGAGCACTTGACATGAATTCAAGGGAGCCGTGGTTCGATTCCCGGCTGGGTAACAATTTTTGGCATTATTCGGGATTTACGTATTTGATTTCTAAAAAAAATTTTTTATTAATATTTTTTTCAAAAATTTTCATAATTTTATTTTTTAAAGTGCATTGGACACTGCGTACTCCAAAAGTTGGGGATGGTTGACGCTCAAGGGACGCCGGACAAGGAGGTTTTGACCCAAAAAATTACCAACTTTCTGACCCACACTAAAGGTTACGACGCCAAAGTAGGTGACGTTCCGGGACAGGCAGAAGCTATCGTGACGAGTTGTATGACCCAGAGGAAAAAGCAGTTGGAGAAATTGTACGATGGTGGTGGCAATATTGAGGTGTCGAAATGCTCGGCAGCCACAAAGCTGGGAGGCTGCTTATCCAAAGATACTTTAAAGGCTTGCATTGCAAGAAATTCAGGGACACCGGGTACCACAAAGTAAAAAAAGGTCACGTGGGGCCATTGTAATTTGAATAAAAATACCAATCCATGTTTTAACGTGAATATATAACCACGTTTCATTCAGAAGTTCAATTAACACTCATTTTTCATTGAGAAATTCAATTCCTCATTTTTCATTCATTTTCATTTACAATTTCATCTCATCGTCTGGATATAAACCTATTATTTAACTTTATTGGTCATAATTTTTCTAAGTGAAATTTGGCGTCGTGCAACAACAAAAACTTGTAACAATAAAATTCTTAACATGAATTGTATTTATTATTGCAAAAAAAACGAAGCAATAATTGAGTATACGAAATCCTTCTCAAATGTGAACTACGTTCTTCTGCAGGAACTCTGTGACCTTCCCGTCACACAAAGAGCGGAACGGTTTCCATTGTTATGTTCCATTCACAATGGAAAGGAAACGATCAACAAATTGTGTAGTAAAATGTGGAAATGTGTTTTCAAAAGCGAATTTCCATTCAAATTTAGTCCAGTTTAGTTTTATTCTCGGCTTCTAAATGTCGTCAAGATTTGCATTTTTTCTCCTCGCCATTTTTATCGCGACATGTTTGGCGAAAAAGATTCGACCCCCGCGACCACCGCAGCATAAAGTGGTGGCAGATTTGAAATCCGTCGACTTTCTTTTCACGGCAACTTCACCCAAAACTATACATGCGCATTCGAGCTATCCGGTCATTCTTTCTGTGGAGAGGTCACTGGGTCAGGTCGATTTTGAGGTCAGGATCACAAACTGTCCGAATCCGAATGAGGATCAGCAGGATTGGGTGGCTCCTGGTGGAGTATTGAAGAAAGCGAGGAATAAAACCTTGGTGGAAACGCTGGCGAAAGGTGAGGTTCGTGACTTCCAGTGACCGCGGAAGCCGTGGGGACCTCTGGGGACATTAATATTGTAGGATAGGGGAGGGAGGAGTTTATATAAGATGGGGAGATGATGCGGACATCGAATAATCGTGGGGACATTGTCTCTCTGTCCGCGGCCACTGGTCACTTCCGGTTTTTGTAAAAAAAATAAAAATATTATTCAGGTCACGCCACCCTCGAACCGGAAACGAGCACGATTCTTCAGCTCAACGTGGAATCTCTGCTTATCGACGAAGTTTATAATGTTAGCGTGGTGGCGACAAGTAGAGGGAGCGGACAGAAGGGGGCGGATTATGCGTTTGCATATATAGAGAGAAAGGTGGTGGTACTTCCTGTATGCAAATTAGGTATGATTTAATTAATATTTAATTTCTTCTTTTCAGAGTCATTCCGTAATTATCCAAACTGACAAACCAATCTACAAACCGGGGGAAACGGTCCAATTCCGTGTCCTTTTTTTGGATCGATTTCTAAAACCTGTCCCGGTAGATTTGGAGGCGAAAAAGGTGCCAAAATTTGTCATCAAATTTAAAAAAAAATAAATTTTCTATAAAATATGGACAGTAAAAAAATTGAAAACTTATTTCATTTTAGGTCATCATTCACATTTACGACAGCGAACGAAACATCGTGAAGTCTTGGACGGGACGGGAGATCCCATTTCAGAAAAAGTTTGGTTTCGTCAAGGGTTCTCTCACCTTGTCGAAAGAGCCAAATTTGGGCGACTGGAGTGTCGAAGTTGTGTCGAAAGGGGGCTCAATCGACGAGGGGGAAGAAGAGAAGGAAAGTCGCAGCTTTTCTGTGGATCAATACGTCCTCCCAAAATTTAAGGTACGCTTAATTACTTCCTCGATAAATTGTAAATTAAAAAATTAATTAATATTAGGTCGAACTAAAAACGATCCCGACCTTCGTAACGTTCAACGAGTCAAAGTTCAACGTCGAGGTCAAATCGATCTACACGCACGGAAAGGGAGTCCAAGGACCCTGCACTGTTTTAGTTAAGCCAACTTACGAGCCTTACTGGGGATATTGGAACGATCCAGAGAAAGAGAAGAACAGACCGCCTCGTTCCATCTCGAGGACAAAGGTAACAATATTAAAAAGGTCACAAGGTCAAGGTCAAGTGTAATTATTTGTGTTTAAAATAGGAGCTAAACGCTGGAGTTGGCATGATCGAATTTGATCTTAAAGAAGACCTAAAAATCAAAGAGGCTGACGCCACAGAGTACGGAATGGAGTACACGATAGAAGCATCTTGTACGGAAACTGCTTCCGGAAAAGTGAGCGATTTGCAAAATTTATTCGCAATTTGCAAATTCGATTAATTGCAAAAAAAATAAATTTCCCACAGATTATCAACGCTACGAAGACCATCCACCTGTACAAGTACCCCTGGAAGATGACCACCGTCAATCTCCCTGCCAACTACAAGCCTGGTTTTCCACTTATCTTCTCCATAAAAGTGGCGCGACATGACGACACTCCGGTTGGCGATGATAACCCGGAAGCCCTCAAAATTCGCCACGGTTTCGCCTACAATGTCGAAGAGGGTGTCATTTTCACAGCCATCCCGCCCACTGGATTGGTCACGGTCACTTTCAATCCTCCCACGAACGACATGATAAATGTGAACGGGGTGGAAGCCACGTACAAAGGGTTGACCCAATGGCTGGGCATTCCATCCAGGCAGATTTCTCCGACAAATTCTTACATGGAGTTGACCCTGCAGAATCATAAGGTAGTTAGTTATTTAAAATTGGAAACTTACTTTTTGGTTTAATATTTACGAAGCCAAATTCCAAAATGACGTGAAAGATCGATTTTTGCATTTTTGGACAGTTTTTCGGTAAAATTTATTTGTTTTTTTTTAAATTTCAATGATCAAAATTTTCTATTGACCTATTTTTTCTGACAAATACTAATGTTTACATCATAAATCATCGAAATAGTGACAAATTGCACATTATTTTGAGAACCTTTTTGAAAAATATTTAGAAAACATTGATATTCATAAAACCTCAAAATCTTGAAAAACATTTAGTCCAATTTTGAATTTTGGAAACATTTTAGTTTTGAAGAAAGTCGTAAATATTCTGCGATATAATTCTTGCATAAATACTGATTTGTCCTCCTAATTTCTTCCCATTAATTCAGAACGTCTTGGAAAAACCACCCCTCCTCGTCGGCGAAACTGCCTCCATTCTCGTCCGAGTTAATAAACCGTTCGACTCGTTGAACTGGGTCATGATATCGCGAGGGGTCATGGTGGCGTGGGATCGGATCTCACTGACTGACCCCGTCCAAGAAAAGTTGCTCAGGATCCCCTGCGAGGCTGGATCCGACCCTTCCGTGCATATCGTGGTGTACACAATTCTCGGCGAGAGTGACGACGTGATAGCAGAATCGCTCAAAATTGGTAAAAATCTCGAAAATAAAATTTGATAAAATTTTGAAGATTTCTATTTTTGACGGTAGACGTGAAAGGGGTGGAAGACAAAATGCTCCGCGTGGGGGTTCGAGACTATACCGAATTCAACAAAACCGTCGAACCCGGCACGAATGTGACCTTGTGCTTTGAAAACGTGGGGGAAGGAAGTCTCCTCGCTCTCCGGGGGGTCGACCAGTCCGTCCTCCTCCTCAAAGAGGACAAGGACATTGATGGCAACACTGTCAAGTACTTATCACAGAAATTTCGATAAGAGTTCGGCGGATATCGGGTGAAAAGCTCGAAAATATCTGGGTTAAAATCTCGCCCTCCAATATCCAGATATCCGTATCCATGAAAAATTGTCGCTCTCCAACCTCCAAATATCCATGATATCCGCCGAGCTCTGATTTCCATAAATAAAAATGCACCCCAAAATTTCAATTTTTTTGCAGAGAAATCGAGCAACAATACGAAAGCGGGATGACCTCGATCCGTTCCTGGGGCGGTTCTGATAGTTTCCAAGTCTTTGAAAACACCGGAATCAACATCATGTCGAACGCGATCATAACGAAGAACGAATACCCGATTTATCGCACCAGGTATAATTTCTACAGAGGTGGAGGATTCCGGCGGGGAGGAGGGTTTAAGGTGACCTTTCTCTTCTTGACGGCTTTTTTTATAAATAAAAATACTTGTGCGATTTGTCTTGTGTTGTTTTGCGAAATTCTGAAATTCAGACTTAACAAAAAAATTTCTTTCTACAGAGAAAATTTGCAAAACACCATCGCAAAGTAATTATAGTTCACATCAATTTAGTGTCTTAGATGTTGGATAATTGTTGCAAAGTTTTGTAAATTTTGAGATGGCGCCGATGATGATGATGAAAGCGGAAATGTCGATGGATGCCGCCGTCGGAGCAGCGCCGATGCCGATGGGGCGTGCCTTCGCTGCAAACGGGGGAGGAGGAGGGGGCGGGGGAGGAATGCCACCCCCACCGGAAATCCGAATTCGTAAAGCATTTCCCGAAACATGGATCTTCACCGAATTGAATGAACACGACGACAAGACAGAGTTGGTGCAAATGGTGCCAGACACGATTACTTCTTGGATTATAAATGCCTTCCAGATAATCTCGAGCGATGGTGAGTGACGATAAGCCAGATAAAATATGCTTACCGTTTCAATTAGTGGCCGTGGAAGGGTGTGGACAGAGGGACAATGTCCCCATGATGTCCCCATCATCTGCCCATGTTATAAACCCCTCCCTCCCGCAGCTCCCCTATCCTACAAAGTTAATGTCCCCAGATGTCCCCACACCTTCCGCGTCCACTGATATTTACATATTTTACACATCTCTCAAACTAACTCCATTAATCAATAATTAGGCCTCGGCGTGACAAAATCATCCTCCAAACTGACCGTATTTCGTCCCTTCTTCATCGTCCTGAGCGTCCCCTATTCCGTCATCCAGGGCGAAGTTTTCACCCTGAAAGTTCTCGTCCACAACTATCTCGGTCACCCAGTTGGAGCTCGGGTCACCCTCGAAAATCCTGACGACGCCTTCACCTTGGCCATCGGGGAGGAAGGCATCCTCACCAAAACGATCGACTCCATCCCCTCCCCCTCCGTCGCTGTGGTCACCTTCGTCATCAGCCCGACCAAGATTGGTGACCTCGTCCTCTCCTTGAAAGCCGTCGCCTCCACGAATGAAGCCGGCGATGGCGTGACGCAACCCTTGATCGTGAAACCGCCGGGGGTCAAGCAGTCCAAAACGGACGCCGTGTTCGTCAACCTGCTCAAATCGAGTAATAAAATCGTTCGGAAAACGCTATCAGCCACGTTTCCCGAGCACCGCGTCCCGGGCGGGGATATCGTAAAATTCACCGTTATCGGAGACATTATCGGGGGCGCGATTATAAATCTGGAGTCGCTCATCCAACTCCCGTCCGGCTGCGGGGAGCAAAATATGATCAATTTCGTGCCAGACTTGGTTGTCCTGGATTATCTGAAATCGATCGGGAGTCTGACGACGTTTGTGAAGACGAAGGCCGTTTCCTATTTGGAGGTGGGTTATCAAAGGGAACTTACCTTTAAGAGGTTTGACAGCTCGTTTTCCGCGTTTGGGAATACAGACGCGGATGGATCCACGTGGTTGACGGCGTTCGTTGTGAGATCGTTTATCGGGGCGAAGAGGTGATTATTATTGCTATTTCGTAATTTTTAAAAAATTTATTTCAAAATTTCATAAATTTTCAGATACATTTCCATCGACGACGCGGTCCTAATTTCCTCCCTTGACTTTCTAATTCGACAACAGTCTGACAATGGGAGCTTTGTCGAGAATGGGTACATCCACGACTTGGTTTTGCAAGGGGGTGGGGGTGGAAGCACCTACGCACTCACGGCCTTCACCCTGCTCACCTTTGTCGAAGCCAAGAGCCTCCCCTCCCTCCAAGATAAGGAGAATCCCAGAAATTATGGCGGCATTGTTGACTCCGGTATGTTAATAAATTCTAAATTAAATAATGAATGAATGAATAATGTTTGAATTGAATGATGAATGAATGATGAATGAATAACACCGTACGTCCCTGATACCTTATCATCATCCTGGATAAGCAATTTTAAACACTAGTTACAATCAATCTCCTAGGTCAAACCCGCCTCCGTAGAAATGACCGCGTACGCCCTGCTGACCTACCTCATCCGGGAAGGGGACGAACTTAAAGATTCCATCGAAATTGGTCACTGGCTTCTCAAACAGCGGAACGACCAGGGCGGTTTTATTTCCACGCAGGACACCGTCGTCGGCCTGACCGCGTTGGCCGGTTTGGCCAAAGCGACCTCAACTCCGAATTACAACGTGAAGGTCAAGCTCCTCCTCCCGGCCGGGGTCACGAGGACCATCGACATTGGTGCGGACGACGTAGGGACGTTGCAGGAGTACTTCCTCCCAGCGGGCCTGACCAGCGTCACTTTCGAGGCGGAAGGCGTCGGTACCGCGTTGGCCCAGCTGAGTTGGATTTACTACACGATGAAGACTGGGAACAATTCTGCGTTCAGTTTGGAAATTGATGTAATTTCTGGGAATATATTATTTTTTTTCAGAATTTTGAAGAATTTTGAATTACAGGTTCAACCAAAGGATAAGAATCGACTTTTGCACTTTGTCATTTGCACGGCTTACAAGCAAGGAGATAAGTCAAATATGGCCATTTTAGAAGTTAATATCCCGACGGGGTACGGTTTCGAGCAGGATGAGCTTATCGATTTGAAGAAGGATGTGGCAGTAATTTTAAAATTTGAGATACATAAATACGTTTCGAATTTTTTAGGAAATTAAATATTTTTTTTGTTTTCTCTTAGATAAAACGAACCGAGTTGGAAAATTCCGACTCAAAGTTGAACATTTACTTCAACTCTTTAACGGCGAAAACGACATGTGTGACCGTAACTGCGCATCGGATTCATTTCGTCGCAAAGCATTCAAAGTCTTCCGTCAGTGTGTATGACTATTACGACACGACGCAGAGAGTGACCAAATTGTACGACGGGGCGGAAGTTGATCCTTGTCAAATCTGTGAATTGGACGATTCTTGTAAAGCGCACAAGTGCGTTTAATAATTAATTAATTAATTTAGATGATTGTAATTGTGCAATTAAATAAATCTAAAAATGCAACACATTAAACGATGTAGTCAAATAAATGAGCATTGTGGTTTCATAAAAAGCTCGACAAAATTATTCAGAAATTTTTGAACAAGTCATTTTGATTTTGAACAAGTGATTTTGTAACCAAGCAAAATTTGAAACTTTTAAAAAACTCTGACCAAACCAAACCAGACCACGATTGCTTGACTTTTAGTGCCTAGTTACCCTTAAGGGAGACGCGTTACCTAGATACTTAAAGTCAAGCAATCGTGAAACCAGACTTTTGCCACAAAATTAATCATGTCTCATGTCATTATACAACACTAAAAAATTATGTAATCACCTCAGTATGTAAATTAACACAATGTCCCAACATGACGACAAACCACCAGAAACTGACCAAAACAAGGAAGAAGAAGAACCAGCCCACAGTCTCCTCAGCTTTCTCAATCCGCTTGGCCTCGTCTTCATAAATTCGTCCCTGCAACGCATGCACTCCAGACATACGAATTTATCCAGTGGAGAAAATGTAGCAAAAAAATACTTATCAAAGTATTCCAACACAATTACTTATATTTCATTTAACTTATTTAGTCGCAAAGTAAGAATGACGCGACATCGCCTCCACAAGCAAAGCAAGTCACGTCGTCGTCGACGACGACAAATAATAAGAAGGCGTCCGTCTCTGATTTTGACGAGGGGGGTGAAGATGACGACATAGGAATTAATATTTCCAGCGTGGCCGCAGTTGGGGTGGCAGGGGTACGATTTCTTAGTCATACTCTCCAGTGACCGCAGTCACTGATCAAATTACTGCGTTACAGGTTCCTGACGGTGGTTACGGTTGGGTCGTTGTTTTCGCCTCGTTCATGTGCAACGTACTCGTGGACGGGATTGCAAACAGTTTTGGACTATTTCTTCCCAAATATGTTGAATCTTTCGACGTTGGAGCGGGTGCAGTGGCGTGGGCGGCGTCACTGCTGGTTGGCACTATGCTGCTCATAGGTATGTAATATGTAAATAAATAGGTGACAAGTTTCGGACTAAATTTTTCGGAAATTTTTCGAAAACTGAAATACATTTTGCTTAAATAGGACCAATTACCTCCGCATTAACGAACAAGGTAATTAAAGTTGCATGATTAAACTGATAATTAATTTGAAACAGTGAATTCAACAACGACAATTAAAAGTATTTTTTGCACTCGTTTCTTCACTGGCAAGTTTGGATGTCGAGCAGTCTGTGTGGCTGGGTCGATTGTGGCCGCGGCAGGATTCGCCTTGTCCTCTCTGGCAAATAATTTGGGCGTGCTTATCTTCACGTATGGTATTATCGGAGGTATCAAAAATTTATATTTATAAATTGTTCAACCTGCTAATCAGACCTATCTGAGTTTTTCAGTTAATAATAAGAAATTTATTAAATTCTTACAATCGGCCCATTTCAGGAATCGGCTGCGGTCTAATTTATCTGCCTGCCGTGGTAAATATATTAAAATAAATTACTTTTAACAGCCAATTATCTCATTGTTTTTCATTTTTAGGTGTGCGTCGGCTACTACTTCGAACGCAAACGTGCCTTTGCCACCGGGGTCGCCGTTTGTGGGTCGGGCGTTGGAACTTTAGTCTTTGCTCAGATTGCGGAGGCGCTGCTAAAGGTCTTATCGTGGAAGCAGGTCAACCTTATCTATGCTGGACTGGTACTCATGTGTGGTGTAAGTTCATGTTGGTGTAATTTATACTTATGCAAATACACACTCATGATTGATTGATTTTTTTACGACAGGGTTTTGGAATGCTGATGAAACCTTTAGTCGTGCAAGTACAGCTGGAAAACGTTTACGATGAGGATGACGAAGAAGAGGACGATCTGGACGATCCGAAATTTATTAAGAGCAAGAGTACACAAGAGTGTGGTAAATTTTTGGAAAAAATTCGGGAACATTTGGGAACAATTTGGTATAGCCAACGTAAAATGTCTACATTTGCAATTTAAGATTCCGGCTATTTCATGGTCCAACTCCCCGATGGACGGATGGAACGAAGATTAAAAGTACCACTTACAGGCGCCACGGACCCCGAGAAAGCAGCTTCTTCTTCCGACGGTGGGACACCACACACTCCAACGACGTCCATCCATAGTCAAGAAATTCCCAATACTGTCTCCGCAAGTGGTCGAAGACATAGTTCTCTTCTCAAGTTTAACTACTCCAAGACGAGGACAAACTCACTATTTAGCTACATGGGGAGGACTTACTCCTTCCGAGCGGTCCCGATCGGTTCAGAAAAAGCGAGTCCGAGTCGATCCAATCTTAGAAATTCGAAAATGTCGTTGGCATCGTCAAGCAAGCAAAAGTTTAGTGGTGAGGGTACCATCGAAATCTTCAATGGCCGCGGACAGAGGGGCAATGTCCCCACGGTTATTCGATGTCCGCATCATCTGCCCATCTTATATAAACCCCTCCCTACGATACCTATCTTGCAATGTTAATGTCCCCACAGCTTCCCCGGCCACTGCTTAGATTTATGAATTTTTAATTAATTTGTACTCTATTCCAGTAATTTCGGGGAGTCAATCAGATTTCCCAGAGGACCCCGGAGTTATCCGACAGGAAGACCTGTTCGGGTTGAATAGGCCAGAATCACGCCACATAATTCGTCCCATGTCACGAAAAGATGTCTTTTACTCTGGATCCATTCACAATCTTCCAGAATATCAGAATAGAAAAAGTATTACGGCGTATCGACAAAGCGTCATAAATGTTGAGCCGGATGGTAATCAAAATATTATTTTAAAAACATCAATGTTTCCTAAAATATTTTTTTTTCTAAACTTCAAATTTAGGACGAGGAGATGAACCACCATCACCAGACAAAGAACCATCACTCTTCGCCGCACATCGTCGCCGTTTCTGCCCCTGTTTCCATCTCCATCCGAGCGACGCCTTTAAAACGGCACTTTCTCAAATGACGGATTTTTCCTTGTTGAAGAATCCCATCTTCATTTTCATCGTGGTCGCGAACGTATTTGGATTTCTGGGATTTTACGTCCCCACAGTTTTCATCGTGCCGGCCGCAAAAGCCATGGTGCGTGGATTGGTCATACATTTCTGCAGTGGCCGCGGAAGCCGTGGGGACATTAATATTGTAGGATAGGGGAGGGCGGGATGTGAACATTGAATATCCGTGGGGACATTGTCCCTCTGCCCTCACGCTCCCGCGGCCACTGCTTTTCTATAATTTTGTTACTAATTTATCATAATTCCAGAAAGTTCGCACCACCGAGGCGTCCTCGCTTATCTCAATTATGGGAGCGTCAAACACAATAGGTAGTCAATTAGAAAATCTTAATTATCGTGCTTATCACTAACCTGAACACGTGTCTTTTAGGCCGGATCACCACCGGGATTCTGTCCGACCTGCCCAAAATGAACTCACTCGTCATGTACAACTGCTGCCTCTTCTTCTCCGGCGTCGTCATCTCTTGCGTCCCGTGGTGCACCTCGTACGCCGACTTTATCGGAATTGCCATCTTCTTCGGCCTATTTATCTCAGGGTTTATTTCCCTCACGTCCATAATTTTGGTGAAACTTCTCGGCCTGGAAAAGTTGACGAATGCTTTCGGCCTGCTGATCTTGTTTTGGGGGACAGCGTCCATCTTGGGGGTGCCACTCGCGGGCGCTTTGTTCGATACGTTTGGAAGTTACGATATTCCGTTCAGGGTGGCGGGGGGATTTTTTGTGGCGGCTGCCCTGGTCGGTGCCATGATTCCCATCGTGGTCAAGTTTGGACAGCCGAAGCATGTCTTGCAGGCGCAGAAGGATGCGTACTATCGTGTCGGGTATTTGGAAGAGGAAGGAAACGGGGAGGCTGGGGACAATGGGACAGCGACGACGACAACGTCGCCGGGGGGAGGGGGAATTGGGGGCACGCCTGTTTCCGGGGTCCTACCAATTTAGTAGGTAAATGATGATATTAATGCGCTCAGATAAATTCTAGTGACAAGTTGAGTGAGATTGTGAAAATGAATGGAGGATTTTGGTTAAATTAATTGTGAAAATACAGATATATTTAATTAACAAGTGTATTAAAGTTATATTGTATTGGTTAAATAATAATGCTATCCATCGGAATGAAATCACGCAGATTTTGAATTTGTAATTTTAGGTCATCATGCTTAATTAAATTATTCAGCTCCGCTAAATTATTCATATCGTTAATGAAGGTGCATTATGTAATTCTCTCGTTTTGGCGTTTAAAGAATATTTGATACAAGTAGAATTCTGGAACTTTATTCATCTTATCAATGGGGTTGCTGCAACACATCTTACAATGTCAAGTAATCGTGCTTATCAAGATTATTTGACACTTTATCACTCTATAGAAGAGACTAACGTTCCCTAGATACCTAAGGTCAAGCAATCGTGCGTCAAAAAAGTGTCAAAAAATCTTGAGAAGTAATCCGGTCGATATTTTTGCACGTTGTCCAAAATAAAGTGCAATTTGATACGTTTATCAATTGTAAATCATTTAAATAACAAAAATCATGCTCGAATCCGAACCCCTTATTAGTTTCGACACGGATTCTGAATCCGACAGTGTAGAAATAGCGCTGAATGCAATCTCTTCTCCCGTCGGGATCGCGATGGGCGTCGTTTGGCTGACTTTTCTGGTAAACAAAATAGATAAAAAAAATCGCCTCGTACGACTAATTGGTTATTTGTAATCGCTCATAATTCACTCTTTCAGGTTTGGTTTGCCTCCTTCGTCTCAACCGGAAATGACTCCAAGCCACCAACTCGAACCACCACTCAGAATAAAATACAGCATCTCAAACCACACGATGGGTGGGACACGTTCAAATCGCTCTTTGCCTTTCGCCCTGTCGAGACTGCGAGAAATTTTTTCAGTAAGTTACACATTTCTTTAAAAATTTAATTGACTTACAATTTAATAAAAAATTGGCAAACTTTTCCAGAAAAATTACCCCGAAGATTATGGAACTTCTTCATCGAAGCCATGCTCATCCCGTCGTACCGTCCCGAGTGGGGCAAGTACACCAAGTGGTCGTACAAAAGTCCGGACAGGGTGGAAAGAACGGAGGAAGAAAGACGGAACATTATTTTGAAAAAGGAACGAGACAAATTGAGAGAAGAAGCGAAAATGGTAGGTCAAAAAAATTATGTATGTCAAATTTAATTATAATTAAATAAATAATTAATTATCAGTCGCCCCACCCCATCGCGCACGACCACGCTTCCTGTACCAGGGTCAAGTTTAACGTGAACGGACGAATATTCGAAACTCAGCTCCGAACATTAAACCGATTCCCGGAAACTTTACTAGGAAGTCCGAAAAAACTGGCACAATTTTACGACCCGGACACGGATTGCTATTTTTTCGACAGGATGCCCTCCAGTTTTGAAGCGATCCTCTACTTTTTCCAGAGCGGGGGTTATCTCCGTCGCCCAGAAAATATTCATTTAGACATCTTTTATGATGACGCAGAATTTTTTGGGTTGCCGCAATCCGTGATTGCAAATTTCAAGTGAGCTTAATAATGTTTCCTATTTTTTTTTGCAAATTTGCAAATTTTTCTTACCAATAGATTGGAGGAAGGTGTCGCAGAATCTCCCACAGAGGACGACGACATGCCGCAGAACCTTCTCCAGAGAAAAATTTGGCTGCTATTCGACTATCCGGAAAGTTCCATTCAGGCCAGAATTCTTGCAATTTGTTCCGTTTTTGTGATTGTTCTCTCCATTATAATTTTCTGTGTGGAAACTATTCCCGAGTTTCATGGGCATGCTGAAGAGAGGACCGCGGAGAATGGGTATTTCTAATAATTAAGTACTAATTATCTTAATTTAAATTTACTTTTCATTCGCAGGGCCGCAGTCCAGTCCGCGTTTGAACCGATGGATTTTGCTGACCCGTTCTTCCTCACGGAAACGATTTGTTCGATCTGGTTCAGCACGGAGTACTTGGTTCGATTCGTGACATCGCCAAACAAATGGGATTTTGTACGAAATTTGCAAAATATCATTGATTTGGTGTCTGTTTTTCCGTACTTTCTCACCCTCGCGACCTACCGGACGGCGGGTGCGAGTCCTGAAGAAGGAAACAAAGGGGTATGTATAACAATAATGGTTTAATTATGTAATTATGCATTTATATTTAAATATTCAATGTAATTAATTCCATGAATTGGAAACAAGGGGGTATGAGAATAGTTTAATTAATTATGCATTTATATTTAAATATTTAATGTGATTAGGTAATTAATTCGATTAATTTTACAGGGAACTGCATCCCTCAGCATACTTCGAGTCATTCGATTAGTCCGAGTTTTCCGAATTTTTAAACTTTCTCGACATTCAAGAGGGTTGAAAATCCTGGGGCTTACGTTGAAGAGTTCGATGAGCGAATTGTTTCTTTTGATCTTCTTCGTATTCTTGGGTGTCATCATGTTCTCGAGTTGCATCTACTTTGCCGAACAGGGCGACCCCAATTCTGAATTTACCTCGATTCCGCGTGGATTTTGGTATGCTGTGATTACAATGACGACAGGTGAGCGGATTTTAAAAATTCAAGTTTAGGAATTTCAATTTAAAAAATTTGAAATTTTGAAATTTTGAACTTGAAAACTGAAATTCCAGTCGGCTATGGTGAAACGGTGCCTCAAACCGTGCTCGGCAAGCTGGTGGGGTCTCTCTGCGCCATCACGGGTGTGCTAACAATTGCCCTTCCCGTTCCCGTAATCGTGTCGAATTTCAACTACTTTTATCACCAGTCAATCGACGAACAGCAATTTAACTTTGCGAAGTTGAACCATGTCGAAAACTGTCCGTATCGTCCGGCCGGAGGGGACGGGGTGCTGCCAGGGTCACGAGATGAGGAGGAGGACGAGATTGATTGGCAACCAGAAGTGGGGGTGAAAAGTGACGAAGATATACAGACTATTTTCGATTAGAATTATATTGAAATTGTGAGAGGAAAGTAGTAATTCGAGGCAAAATGAGATTTTGTAAATGATTTACGTCAAAAGTGAAAAGTTTGGAGTAATAAAATGTCTTAATTTGCATCTCACTATTGAGATTTGAGACAAATCGTTTTTTACCTCCCGGAAATTAAATGCAATAAAATGTTTCATGATATAAAATTATATTGTGAGTTTATCTGCAAATCCTAAACGAATATTTGCATGCACTTTTGAAAATTGTCTGCAAAAGTCGGAACGACCTGTAGCATGTCATAAGCATGAGAAATCCCGACCACAGTTTCTCAGTTTCACAGAAAAGTATTTGGAATTCACAAGTTTTACAAATGTTCTGATTCAGTTCCAAATCGTGGGGTAGGACTGGCTAGAGGGGATGGGTCGACATTTGGTTGTATTTAAATCCATTCAAAACAAATTGCCAAATTGATGGTTTTATCATATTTTCCACAATAATTCTAGCAATCCGTTAACATTTTCCATTCATAAATATTCTCCACTTATTTATAATATTATTTGTAAACAGTATGTATCCTTCAAGAATTAGAAAGGTGAAAATTTCCAGAAATGTAGGGTCTGGTTCTGGCATCAACGATCGGTTAAAAATATTGAGTTACTTACTTGCGCCTTAGAAAAACATTGTAATATTTTTCCTCCTCAATATTCCTGAGAATAGTGTGGTCTGGAAGTTCTTGAAATATTAATCCCAATTTACCAAGAAACTTCCCTTTAGAAAAACAATGGAATATTTTTCCTCCGATATTCCTCAGAATGCACGTTCTGGAAGGAAATATTAATCCCACCCAATTTAACAATAAACATATTTCGGTACCGGCCACGAAGAAACCCCTTCCCATCCTAACCTTTCCTCAGGCACACCGCGGCTACCCGACTCCCTGACCAAGCGACCCTTCACTTTGCAAATTTTACATTGAAACAGTTGCATGTATTTAGTAGTTTTTTAATAGATACGTAGAAATAATTATTCACATCATATCATAATGTCGATATTTTTTAAATCCACTATAGACAAGCTGCCAAATTGATGTCAAGTTTTATCATATTTTCCACAATAGTTCGAAGAATAAATCCGTTAGCATTTTATATTTATAGGATTTGTGAACAATATCCTTCAGGAATTAGAAAGGCGACAACTTCCAGAAATGTGCGGCTTGGTATCAACGACCGGTCAAAAAATATTGAGTTACTTGCGCCTTATGAAAGCATTAGAATATTTTTCCTCCAATATTTTTCAGAATAGTATGTGCTGGAAGGTCTGGAAATATTAATCCTACCCAATTTACCAAGAAACCTATTTCGGTACCTGCAAACTAACCCTTCCTCAGGTATCGCGCTACCCGACTCCGCGAACAAGTGACCCTTCACTTTGCATGGCCTGCTATGAATTTGACTGCTTACTTGCTTCCTACCACATTTAACTAATCCTTAACTGCTTCCAGTAAATAAATAGCCCAGCATTCGACAATCAGTCCTCATTCGCAATTTCGTCCTCGTCCAGTAAGCAAGCTTCAAAAGCAGTCCACATTCCAACCAAGACGTAAACCTGACAAGAAATCTGCCCCCCATTAAACTGAAGAAGTTAAAGAACAATTAAGTGTCCATGATGGAGATTGGTTACGACATTGTCCCGAGACGCAGCATTCAAGCCAAGAAGACAAACCAGTCAACCAGTTTCAACGACTACTATCGAGAGTCCCTGGCTCAAAGGATGGAGAAGACTTCGCCACAAATCCTGCAAGGCGAACAACCCCTCGTCGTTGCCGAGGAGGAGGAGACGACAAGCTGGCGACAAACTAATCCCCTCCTGATTGCGAATGTGAGTTATTAATCTGGGTTTCACTAATTAATTTGCAATTGATTTTATCCCACAAAAAATATTTCATGAGATTATTTATGCCGTATCATATTCCCTGCAGTTTCAACCATTAATAATAATAATTGCTGAAAATGAGTCAGATTTATTTGCGACAAGAGTTGGAATCCATCATTTAATACCAGTTTATTTATTTTGGCGTCAAAATCGTTCAATTTTGTATCTGGAATTTGCAAAATTGAATGATTTTCACGTCAAAAGGAAATAAACTGGTATTAAGAATTATGCGGTTCGGCTAATGTAAATTGGCGATGGATTCCAACTCTCGCAGCAGAAGTTCTGCTGCAGAACCAACAGTAATGGAATAATATGTAATGCAATGGTTCATCGCCTTAAAATGTAACTAAGAGGCGTATTGAGACTACTACTTATATACGCAATTAAATTATGACAATTAAGCTTTCTCTAATGTTTAATTTTACTCTAGTGCAATCATTTTACCAATATTTTTGCAAAATACTTGTGTTCCCAATATTTTTCGAATTTTATGAATAATTAGGTAATAATCCTGTAATTATGAAGTAACTAATATCCTCCAATTTATATCTCCCCAGGTCCTCGAAGTCATTTTCCCCCACCTGGACCACGCCTCCCTGAAAGCCTGCAGCCAAGTATCCTCCCTCTGGTCCGTCATGGCCACCCCCCTGCTCCGATCTCGCTCCCAGATCCACCTCGAAGGCCCCCTCCACGACGACCGGAGTGACGCCTTCCTCTCAACCCTCACCCCCACTGACACCCTGCCCATGGCCAGTCTGACCTACAACCTCCACCACACCTCGACCCCCTTCCTGTCCGAAAGAGCGTCCAATTTCTTCTCCACCTTCGGTCATTCCCTCACCTCCCTCACCCTGCAAGCCTTCGCCCACCAAGACCCGGCCAATTCCCTCGGAACGAACCACTTCTTCTCCGTCGTGGCGCAGCTTGTGGGTCGCGACTGTCCCTCCCTGACCCACCTGACCTTGACCCACCTCCAAAATCTCGACTACCTCGACCCTGAAATCGAATCCCGACTGACTTTCACCTCTCCTTCCATCCGCCACTTGACCATTTCCTTCGAAGGGAACTCCTGCCTCGTCCGACCCAGACGTGCCTTGAACTGCATGACAGTTTTGAAGTCCCTCCTCGCCATCGCCCCCAACGCGACCACCCTCGACACCGACTGCCTCTGTGGGGGTGAAACCTTCATGTACTTCCTCATGACGCTGAGAGACTCGCAGATTTCGTCCCAATTGACCAGCTTCTCCCTCAGTGGTGGACCACTCGATAAGGTGGCGATGAACATTTTGAACTCCATGACCTTCCCCAGACTCACCTCGCTCAAGATGAATACCATCATCACGGCCCAAGTGCAGACGGAATTTGTCCAGTTTCTTGAAAAGTTGCCAACGCTGCAAAAGTTTGTTATGTTTGGCGACAAACGGGGGAAATTTGGGCTGCAGGGAAGAATGGCGAGGTATGAAGAGGGATTCACGATGGATTTCTCCCTCATGCCCAAACTCAAGGTGCTTGAGTATCAGAATTATGAAGGCCTGCGACTTGGGGGTGAAGATTTTCTGCAAAGGTTGCCAAATTTGGAGGAGGTGGTGATTCGCGACTTCCAATCCTCATTGGGAGATATGATGCTGTGTCCACAGCGCAACGTGTGGGGGACCATATTCAGTCCGAACATTTACAAAAGGGGGAAGATCACGCCGAATTACGCCAACGTCCATGTCAAGAAGGTGGTTCTTGATGTCGTCTTCGTCCCCTCGTATGAAAATCTATCCTCGATGGAAAAACTACTAAAAATGTTTCCAAATGTGGAGGAGTTGGAGCTCACTATCAGTTTCGCGTATCAGAACGTGTACGTGGGTCAAGTTTTGGACATTTTGGCCAAGTCGAAGGTCAAGAAGCTCAAGATCAAGTTTCAACAGTGTGCTGAACTCAGATCTGAGAGGGTTGCGGCTTCATTTCAGGCAGCATTGCTGAATTATCTGCCTAAATTTTCTCGTAAGTTAACTTCTATTATTTACATATACATTTATATTAGTATTAAACTTTTTGAATTTAATTGAGAAATCTAAAAGAAAAATACTGGGAATAATTTTTAATGGAAACTTTATTTACTTTTCTGAATTACAGGACTCCAACGGGTCGACTTTGTCTTGGACGACATGCCCCCAATGTCCAGATTCACCTTGCCACTTTACATAGTCAAAGGGATGTTATCCACCAGGTCATTGAGCGTCCTTAACCTGACCGGATTTTGCATTGGGGTGAGTATTTGAGTATTTATTTCGATTTCTGAAATTATTTCTTATCAGCGAAAAAGTTTGTGACGAGTATAAATAAATCTAAATTTTTGTATATTTTTATCTGACTGATTTCAGGAGGACCTCGAAGAGACGGAAATGTGTCGCCAGCTCCTAGATAACAAATTGTCCCAGTGGAAAATTAGCGAGAGTTTGATGCCCTATTCAAATTTTAGTCATTTCGAGTATTAATTAGTTGGTTATTAGATTTTTGGCGACTACAATAGCAATCATGTTTGTTTGATGTAATTTTGGATGGATAATTTGAGTAGATTTTGGTAATCGAGGAGTTTCTTGTTTGTGATAAGTAGTTGGAATTTGTGAGAATTGCGTATTAATCGTTTCGTATTTGTTTTATTTGTTTTATTTGTTTTTATTTTTTGACTTACGCTATAATTGAATTATTAAACATGTTGGTTTCAAAGATGTCCAAACAGATAGTATGTTTTGACATCTTTGTATACATTTCGCGAAAATCGAATTATTTTCTTCGTACTTGTTTGTATTTTTTCGTACTTATTTTTATTTTTGACTTACGCTATAATTAAATTGTTAAACATTTTACATATTAATTTCATAGGTTAGGAATTTTGTACTTATTTTGTATATCTTGACATTGTAAATATTTAGTGACAATCTGTTATGATTTTGATTTAATTGATTTAAACCTTTATTCACGTGTTAATAGTTATCAGTTTACAAAACTGGTTTAAAAACTATGACACAAGTAGATAAAACTATATACTTAACCTAAAAAATATCTAATGGACTCATGAATAAACTTGTAAAAGTTTTCAAAGTATTAAACAACTTTTGCATGCACATTTCGAGACGGATTGCATACGCATAATTTCCATTACTTCAAGAAAGAAGTACGTAAATGTCACGCATTAACTACTCAAAAGCA